AGCTCCAGGAAGCTATCTCCCATCTCCTGTAAATCCTGATCAACAGGGCTCCTTTACACCTGAAACTAGTATAAAACAATCCTCAATGTCAATTGCAATTGAACAATAAAATAATGAAAATCATAGAAGGAAAACCAAAGATCCACAGGGTTTTATAAATTGTGTAGTTAAAAAGGAAAACACATACGGCAAGCCTTATATAGGAAGTTCATGTCCAGGGCATTTGTTATTTGACACATTGTGAGGTGTTAAAAATATGAAATGTTTTGAAAATTCTGAACCTCTTATAAGCTCTTATAAAAATGGATGTATTTGAGCACTACTATATGCCAGATCTTGTACCTAGCATTTTCACATATATCATGTGAATAACACCATAACTGAAGGAGGCAATTATCTCCATTTTACATGTGGTGATATTGAGAGTTTAAGTGATTTGGCCAAGGTTTATTTAACTAGTGAGCAGTAGAGACAGTCTGGAAGCCAGGATTCAATTCAGATTCTGCAGATTTTCTCTTTCTTTCTTTCTTTCTTTCTTTCTTTTTTTCTTTCTTTCTTTCTTTCTTTATTTATTTTTTTAATATATTTTATTGATTTTTCACAGAAAGGAAGGGAGAGGGATAGAGAGCTAGAAACATCGATGAGAGAGAAACATCGATCAGCTGCCTCTTGCACATCCCCAACTGGGGATGTGCCCGCAACCAGTGTACATGCCCTTGACCGGAATCAAACCTGGGACCCTTCAGTCCGCAGACCAACGCTCTACCACTGAGCCAAACCGGTTTCGGCAGATTCTGCAGATTTTCTACTTCACTGCTTACCATCTAAGCTTAAGGCATTAGAAAGCATTTTATGTTCTTACTAGAGGCCTGGTATACAAAATTCATGCAAGGGGCTTGGCCCTAGAAGCTGTGACTTCATCTGGAAGGTCGTTTGGAAGGATGTCCAGGAGGTTGTTCGGTTGTTCTGTCTAATTAGCATATAATAATAATTTTATTATTATAGATTTTGGAGATGAGGACACTGATACTAGAGTTAAATGAGTTACTTAGTGTGGAATCATGCTTAGAATTCAGTTTTCTTGAACAAATTTTTAAACAATAATTGCAGAACGTCATGCTGGTGTTTTAGTTTAGTAGTTATAGAAGCTCAGTAGGCCTTATAATTACGTCTTAAAGAACAGGAACTACTAACTACGTATGCTCTATCTCTGTTTTGGATTCTAGACACTTCTTGAATTAAAGGTTTCATCATCGTGGGCTTCCTTATTTGCTAACAGTATTCTAAAATTATTGGGAACTGCTATTGTGGGCAATTTTTTTTTTTTTGAAAAATTGTGGACAAAATTTATTGCTAAATTTTACTGACAGACTTTCCTATGCATATATTAACTGTTCTGTTCTGCTCACATCTGCTCGGGAGTAATTTCCTCTTTTCCTTGCCTGATGGAATTTTATGTCATGTAGTATCTACTTCCTTATTTTGATAGAATTAGAACAAAGATGTTTCCGGCTGTCTCTTCTCATTTCTGCTCACTTGCTCCCATTAATCCTTATGTTTCACTTTCTCGGAGAAGTCATCCCTGAAGGCTGTGGCTGGGATTGGGTGGCCTCTTCTCTCTCCCACTGCACATAGTGATATCTTTAAACCACTCCAGACACCTGTCCCATGCCAGGTCTAGTTACTGTCGTGAGCAAACACAGTCCTTGCCCTGAAAGAACTTAGAGTTGAGATGGGGAGGCAGACCATTAGTCAGAAAGATGCAATATGACTGAATATCGTTTTTAATTTGTGAGTATTTATTTTATAGTGGACATTGTGTTAAGCATGTTGCATGTATTATTTCATGTCATTCTCTCAATAACATAAGACCCTAGAAATAGCCTAAATATTTATCAACATGAGATTGATTAAATAAATTATGATATATTCTTACAATGAAATGAGGCAGCTATAATAAAGAATGAGGACCCAGCTTGTGGTCACAGTTCCATTTCCGGTCAGCGTGCATGCCCGGTTTGCAGGCTCAGTCCCCAGTAGAGGCATGCAGGAGGCAGCCAATCAATGATTCTCTCTCATCATCGATGTTTCTATACCTCTCTCCCTCTCCCTTCCTGTCTCTGAAATCAATAAAAACATATTTAAAAAAAGAATGAGGAAATGCTGTATGAATGTGGAACAGTGTAAAAAGTATGGTATTATGTGGAATAAACAAGGTGTAGAAGAGATGCCACTTTATGTAGAATCTATATTATTTGCAATACATGGTTGGAGAGGCAAAGAGTATAAAGGTATCCCCCCAAATGTATATATACACTTTGAATAATTATAAAGGCATTGTTTATTAAAATGCATTTCATTTTCAAATTTGAGCTACCAGCTATTAAGGTGTGTATGCATTTTTTGGGACAATCTCTTGTTTTTTTTTTTTTTTTTTTCTTAAAATATATTTTATTGATTTTTTACAGAGAGGAAGGGAGAGAGATAGAGAGCTAGAAATGTCGAGAGAGAAACATCGACCAGCTGCCTCCTGCACACCCCCCTCTGGGGATGTGCCCGCAACCAATGTACATGCCCTTGACCGGAATCGAACCCAGGACCTTTCAGTCCGCAGACCGACGCTCTACCACTGAGCCAAACCGGCTTTGGCTGGGACAATCTCTTGTATATGTTTTGGCTTGTATATACATAAAATATCTTTGGAAGAATAGACAGAAAATTTATCCTATAAGGTGCTTCTGAAAAGTCGCTAGGGGATTCCAGGTAGGGAGATTGCCTACTGTACATACCTTTTTGTGCTTTTTAAATTTTGAGTTGGTTGAATTTACTGCCTATTAAAAAAATATAAATAGGACTAAAATGAAAGCAACAATAAGCACCTTTCTGGGCACTGAAGCAAATGCAGAAAGGCATGCTGGGCTTGGGATAAGCCTGCCTTCTCATCACATCCAGTGCCAGCGGAGTATGCACTTGAGTATTTGTGCAATCGATGAACCAAGTTGGAAAACACTCTCCAGTTTCTGTACGTGAAGGACACATCTTTTTTGGTGGTGTTTCTGCTAAAAATAGAGCTTCTGAATGTGACCATGAAGAAATGGCAGACTACCTCAAGTTGAGACACATTCTGAAAATAAATAGCCTGTGCATTTCAAAAATGTCAAGGTCGTGGAAAACTCAGGAAGACCGGGGACTGTTCCAGACTGGAGGGGACTGGAGGATGTGACAGGTCTGTGCACTGTGTGCGATAGGTAGAGGTTGTTTCTTTCCCTGCAAAGCACAGTAATTAGATAATTGGCAACTTTTAAAACATATATGCATTTTTATTGATTTCAGAAAGGAAGGGAGAGGGAGAGAGAGATGCAAACATCAATGATGATGAGAGAGAATCACTGATTGGCTGTCCCCCTGCACGGTGGCCACTGGAGATCGAGCCCACAACCCAGGCATGTGCCCTTGACCGGAATCAAACCTGGGATCCTGCCGTCTGCAGGTCAAGGCTCTATCCACGGAGCCAAACCAGCCAGGGCAAGACAATAGGCAGCTTTTAAAGAAGGTCTGTAAATTAAGTAGTAGTACTGTTTCACTGGTAATGCCCTGATTTTGATATGAATACTGTGGTTATGTGGGAAAATGTCCCCATTTTTAGGAAATAAGCATGAATTTAGTAGTAAAAGGGCATTGTATCTGCACTTTACTCTCAAATAGTTCAGATAGAGAGAGAGAGGAGAGAGTATTCCATTGTACATATGTACCACATTTATTTCTTTTAAAATATTTTTATTGATATTAGACAAAGAGGAAGAGAAAGGGAGATAGAGAGGGGGAACATCAACAGCTACCTCCTGTAAGCCTTCAACCCGGGCATGTGCCCTGACCCAAAATGGAATTGTCGACCCCTTGGTTCATGCGATGACACCCAACCAATTGAGCCTCTTGGGTGAGGGCCAGCTCTTTATATTATCATTGACATTTTCTCCTATGTTTCTTAATATTTTTGTTCCTTAAAAAACAAACAAAACTAATAGCTTTGTTGTGGTATAATGAACATATTGTACAACTCATCCTAAATATCTTTTAATATCTGCTTAAGTAGTGCTGTTTATAAGGAGTTTTTAAAACTAACTTTATTAGGCTACTGATGGTGTTTGGTAAGGCTTTTGGTTTGTCCACTTATCACTCCTCTACTGACTAAATGGGAAACAAAGTTGATACTTGTACTCGCCCACTGGGGGCCCAGAAAGTTGAGCCTCCTCTGCCTGCCATTTTCTCCTCGTTCTCCTCGTTCTGTAACCTTTGTGACTCTGCTGTTCATTCCTGTAGGTGGTATGGGAACTCGGTGTCTAAGCAAGTGTGGAAGGGGGGGCTGGGGCTGTGCAGTCTGACGTGGGTGCGAACCATCATCACCTGCATTTAGAACCTCATTCTCCTAATCAGAACTAAGAGAACTGCCTCAAGTATTTTTCTAAAAAAATATTTTTATTGATTTTAGAGAAAGAGATAGAAACATGAGTGATGAGAGGGGATCATTGATTGGCTGCCTCCTGCATGCCCCACCCTGGGGATCAAGCCCACAACTGGGGCATATGCCTTGACTGGGAATCGAACTGTGACCTCCTGGTTCGTAGGTCGATGCTCAACCACTGAGCCATGCCAGCAGACAGGGCTTCCTTAAGTCTTTTTGATGAGGGTTACGTTATATCACATGTACCTAGAACACAGCAAGCATGCAAGACTTTGCATAATTATAAAAAAATGTTTCTTTTACTGCCCAGGTGTTCTCTTTTACAATGTTTTATTTTTCTCTCTTTGTGGTTGAAATGATATAATAACTTATTAAAATGTATTCATCTATGTAAAGCCTTGGTTCCTTTTCTCTCTTTCGGCAGGCACATCGCAGAGACATCCCTCCGTCCTTCATGAACGCCTGCGTGGTGGATAGGTGACTGCCGACCGGCCCATGCTGCTGTAGGCGCCCCGACGGGAGCCGTCCAGGGGGAAGGATGGATTCCAAAGATGAGAGCGCACACGTGTGGCCCGAGGCTGCAGAACACGAAGAGGGCGCCACACAGGTGAAGGGGGTCTCCGGCGTGGGGACAGGTGCTCACGGCCAAATAGCAGCTGCCATGCAGTAGTGAGTAGTCGGGAGGCGAGGAAGCTGCAGCGGCTCAGCACCTCGGATGCCCAGTGCGTTCCCGTGGGATGCAAAGGGGCTGAGCTGCCACCCGCAGCTTCTCTGCTTTCCCCAGCTCATGTCAGTCTGTCTCACTCCTCTGTGTTCTTTTGTTATTGGTGCTGAAAGTGTTTCTCTTTTTAAAAATTGAATATATTTGTATTGATTTCAGAGAGAAAGGGAGAGGGAGAGAGACACAGACACATCAATGATGAGAGAGAATCATGGATGGGCTGCCTCCTGCACGCTCCTCACTGGGGATCGAGCCTGCAACCCGGGCATGTGCCCTGACCGGGAATCGAACCATGACCTCCTGGTTCATAGGTCGACTCTCAACCACTGAGCATACCGGCTAGGCAAAAGTGTGTTACTTTGATGTTATCTAGCACATGGTTTTGTGTGCAAGTAACGAAGTTCAAGGTATGTCCATAAAGTGAGTGGCTTTTCTTTCCAAATGAGGAGTGAAAAGCTCTAATTGAAAGTTGTCCCATTGAGTCAGTAGCTCTGGAGGGTAGTCCCTTAGCCGTGGCGATTGCGATCTCCGCCTTTGAGACTCTGTCCCGGCAGCTGCAGGCTCGGTGCCCTCTGCCTGCTTGGCGTGCATCTGGGGAGCCGGGGTTTGTATGTGACCACAGTACAACACTTAGTGTTCCAGCATTATAATAAACACGGAATTTTTATTTAATTTGTCACGGAATGGCATGACCACAGTAATATCAGAGTGAGGACGTTAATGGAAACCTTTAGATACACGCATAATTTAATTTAAACAATATAATAAACATTACTGCGAATAAAATGGATCATCTGGTATGATTTCAATGCCTGAGTCTGAATACTTAAAAACACGTTCCAGAGATGCTTCCAGCAGAGCCATTGAGAATGCTGTTTTGTTCTCATGGAAACCGTTTTGAAGGTGCTTCACTGCATCTATATATTACCATGTATTTTATTTATAAACAGAAATGTAGTTTATTGAAGAAGAGTGAAAGAAAAGGGGGTTACGGCAGAGTCCCCACATGTGGGTCACCAGCCAGCAGCAGCCAGCGGAGCCCACCTCCCTCACTGAGCCCTCTCCGCCCAAGTCTGCCTTCTCCCCGCTGCGGACTCAGGGTTAGCGAACCGCGAGTGGTGAAGACTGAGTGGAGGAGGGAATGTTCTTTGCTTTTTTATTTTTATTTTTAATTAAAAAATATTTTATTGACTTTTTATATAGAGAGAGAACGATAGAGAGAAACATCGATGAGAGAGAAACATCGATCAGCTGCCTCTTGTACACCCTCTACTGGGGATGTGCCCACAACCAAGGTACATGCCCTTGACCGAAGTTGAACCTGACGCTCTAACCATGAGCAAAACCGGTTTCGGCTGTTTTTTGCTTTTTTAAAGCACTGAAACCAGGGCAGAGTTTTGATGTAAATGGGCAAATCTAAAGTCACAAAATTATCTTGCAGCACCTAAATGTGCAGCACAAGTATGTTCTAAGCCTAATTCTTCCAATATATAAACTGTATATTTTGGACAAATTAAATTTATGTAGAAGCTGGACCGATCACTTAGTGCAGAAGTGGAAGTTTGCTTCATTTCTGTGGTGCTGATGGCATTTGCTCTCTAGGTTTCTGGGGATGAAATCAGCTTATGTCATCTTTGGGTTCTGCTGTTTTCCATCGGAGAAAAAAAGTTAGGTCCAAAGACAAGAGAGTATACTATGAGACTAAGGATTCCATTCTAGGAGCGATCAGCTTTAGCATCAGCACATAAATTATTTCTCTCCCAAAAGTATGCTTGGCCATCTGCTTCTGTACCTTCAATATCAGACCCAGGCGCTGTGCCAAACTCGAGCCTTCCAGAATTCAAACCTCTGAAGCTGACTGCTCAGAAAACATTTTAGGAAATTCGATTTCTGCTTCAGTCCTCGGTAGATGGAAAATTATTTACCCCGTGGACAACTGAAACGCTGTCCAGGACCCCTTAAAAGGACTTGGTTAGGACTTTCTGTGTGTTGATCTAGCGGGCAAGGAATTCCGTGACAGTCCTTGATTCAGCAAAAAAAAATCACTGACACGCCTCCAGTGCAGCCTTGGAGTGTGAAAGAACTGGGAGGAGAGAGAGTGACCTTATTTTAATGTGTCTGCTGGAAGGCACCATTAGTTACAGAGTGGAGTTTTTATGATGTGTTAACAGCAATTGGCTTTTGAGTCTTGCCACATATTTTTTTAACATTATCGAATAATTTGCATTTTGGGAATGTTATTGACCTGGACCCTTCAGTCATGCTTCCAGGATTAGTTAAGTTTCCCCTATCAGCTCCCACAAAGAGAGATCTGCATTGGATATTTGAGGCAAATGGGGAATTTAAATCAGGGGCCTACTAGTAAGCAGTAGAGCCCTAACTGGTTTGGCTCAGTGGATGGAGCGTTGGCCTGAGGACTGAAAGATTCCAGGTTTGATTCCGGTCAAGGGCATGTACCTTGGTTGCGGGCACATTCCCAATAGGAGGTGTGCAGGAGGCAGCTGATCGATGTTTCTCTCCCATCCATGTTTCTGACTCTCTATCCCTCATCCTTCCTCTTTGTAAAAAATCAATAAAATATGTATAAAAAAATAGTAAGCAGTAGATCATGAGTGAGGATGTGCTTGGCGCCTGCCTGCCAGTCACTAACTCAGGAGAGGTGAGCATGTATCCATCCCCTTCTCTCTTGGGGGGTATTTTAGGAACGCAGCGGTGTACTCTGTTTGGTCCGCGCGGATCTTTGTGAGACTGGTTCGGTGCTGCAGGGGTAGTCACTACATAATTGCTGCTTTCTGCCCCAGGTACACTTTGTTCCAGATGCCGGAACTGTGGCTCAGATTGTCTACACCGATGACCAGGGTCGGCCGCCCCAGCAGGTGGTGTACACGGCAGATGGTGCCTCCTACACGTCAGTGGACGGGCCCGAGCACACCCTGGTGTACATCCATCCCGTGGAAGCTGCTCAGGCATGTGAACGACTATTGTGTATAGTTTGTTTATTCATCAGTTGGTTCACTCATTAGTTCTGTTTACTCTCTGCCAGTCACCACGGTGGCTGTGGACACAGGAGATAATCTACATAAGATTTATGCTTTCAAGGAGTTTATAACCAGCTTGGCAGAGGAAGATATGATTTATTTAAATTAAATCTAATGTATTAAAACAGTGATTTTCAACCTTTTTCATTGCATGGTACATGTAAGCTAATTACTAAGATTCTGCGGCACACCAAAAATAAATATTTTTTGCCGATCTGACCAAAAAATAGGTATCTTTTTTTATTGATTTACAAAAACAAAAAACAAAAAACCCCACAGTAATAATAATTACCTACCCTTTTTGCTCCAAAGAGACTTTTTAAAAAATCAGGTGCCTATGCTTGTATATAAGGATTTCTGGCACGAAGAATTAACCAATCAGAGACAACCTTATTATGCAACATGACCAGTGAATGTGACTATTATATGACCTATATATTTATAGTTCAAGACAGGGCAACCACACCAGACAGCTTTTGTTGTGTTGTCTGTTGTCATTTTTTAATCTGACACTCTAAGGGAAAAGAGGCCACTATCCTTGACTTGTAGTCAGGTATTGCATGTTTGAAAAATTCTGGTGGCACATGGTTGAAAGCCTCTGAGTTAGAGCACTGGGCTTGTATCAGTTCTTCTCCCCAGTGATCATGGACTAGATCAACATGCTACTTTTCCTAAGTAGCAACAAGCAGGCCAAAAATGGCATTTAGTTCTGCATAGCTTAACCAAAGATGGACCAGGGGAAACATACAGATTAGTAGTTAAGTGTACAAGCAAAGGTCCTACTATAATAGCTTATTAACTGCTATTTATTATTAATTTATTACTGATGTGCAGGCCTATAGTAGAGCAAAGGTAAAAGCTGTACAATTATAGGTTTTTTTTTTGCCAGTGACTTGGGTATTAGTTTCCAAATGTATGGCACACATAATCCCTAATATGTAACTATTTGTTTCTCTTGTTAGTACTTTTTTACACTGGACAAAGCACTTTTAAGCATATTTAAAAAAATTAAGTTCCATACTTTTTTAGTAAGATCCTGGTAATAAAAATTTGCCCTTCTATGCAATATTTAATCAAAAGGCTCACATCATTTCCAAGAAGAAATGGAGCCTACCTAATTGATACCTTTCAAATTGGTATAAACATGAAATTGCCAAACATTGAGATGATAGTTTTGGAATGCCTCTGCTTAGGCATGGTCCTCTAACTGTATTAAAATAAGATCACATCGTTTATGTAGAGACTGTTCTGTGTCCAGCTTTTAGTTTATTACCGTGCTAAATGTCTGAATTCTGATAATTACTTAATGTCAGATTTAAGAATCTGGCACTGACTGAAACTCTTTTTTACATTCTTTTGCAACCAAAATGTAGCCATAATTCTTATTCCCATAGATTTGCTCAAGGCTTGGGCAAATGAAATTCTTTTAAAAGTTTTAGGGGAAAGAATATTTTTTTGGACTGGTAGTTTTCTGTGGTGCCCTGGCTAAAATAATTTTGAAGATTTTTTTTTCTATAATCAGCTTTGCTGCATCGTGACCTAAATTATGTGTTTATGAGAACTTTCTTTTAAATTGTGATTTTTACTGGCTTTTTCTGAAAAAAAAAAAAAATCTATGGAACATTAAATTCCGTTTATTTTTCTTCCGCTCTTCTGATAATGTGTGCATTTTATATTTGAAAGAGTTGCAATGCCTGCATATGTAGTCCTCTTCCATATTTTTATGTATGTTTATAATTTTCATTTAATTGCAAGTTTATTCCTTGTGGCTCACAGTGTTAAGTATGAGTGAATGCACCCCCGTTCATGGCGTGTCTTTCATGTTTTCATGACAGGCCTTTTAAATCAGCCGTGACATTCAGCCTCAAGAGAGGCTTTGCTTACAGTAAAATGTTAAGTATGTTAGCCAGTTGGGATGGTTTAGCTCACACAGTCTCTTTGGTGCCATCTGAATGGAAGGCTTTGGCTAAATGTAAGATTGCTATCGTTATCTTCTTTATTAATGAAGGATTATTACTAGCTACATGGGAGTTAACTCTCCCACGAATTGGTGCTTAGCAATAGGATAATTTTTCCTGTGTAGGTGAGCTGTCTAAAGATCTATTGATAAGTTTGTTGTTGTTTTTTTGTTTTTGTTTTTTGTCTAGACTCTGTTTACAGACCCTGGCCAGGTAGCTTATGTCCAACAGGATGCTACAACTCAGCAGGTAATGAGTTCGTTTTACCTCTTTGTTGTTTGGGATAATACTATGAATGTTCCCCAACCCTCTGCACTGGGTCTTCTCTTGATGGGTGTTTCTTATATAGGAAATTAAAATTGATGGCAGCCTTCCTCATTCTAGCTTCTGCAAAACTGAGATTCTTTTTGGTTATCCTTTAACACATTTCTTTCCTTTCATTCATATTTCTAATATAGCCTTTTTGACTTTGAGGGATTTCCTTGTTTTCCTCCGACTGTGGAAGTGATAAAGAAGGTGCAGGAGCTAGATGTTGTCAGTCTTACTCCAAACAATTTTATTTTCATGTTAGGTAGTATGGTTAACTTAGCCATACCACTGAGTGTCTCGAGTGATTATTAAGTAAATTCTCAATTGGTAAGCACTTTCTGCTTTTGAACTTTAAAAAAATATATGCTTTTATTTCAGAGAGAGGAAGGGAAAGGGAGAGATAGAAAAACATCAATGATGATAGAAAATCACCCATCGGATGCCTCCTGCACTCCCCCTACTGGGAATCAAGCCCAAAACCCAGGCATGTGCCCTAATCAGATCTGAACTGTGACCTCCTGGGTTGTAGGCTCCATCCCCAGTGGGGGCCATGCAGGAGGCAGCTGATTGATGATCCTCTCTCATTGATGTCTCTCTCTCTCTCCCCCTCTCCCCTTCCTCTCTGAAATCAATAAATATATATTTAAAATATTTTTTAAAAAAGGAAAGCACCTATAATAGATTGAAATACATTAAATATATTTAAAAATCTATAAACTCACACTGACATTAAAAGCAATAACTCATTGGTCACTTTTTGAGGTTGCTAGGGGGACCACCTCATTCATTACTCAAGAAACTGGTAAATGACTAGAAAGAATACGGCCTTTCTCCCTGAATGTACTCAGGTAAACAATTACTCGACGAGGGAAATATCTTTTTAATAAATAAAGCGGAAATGCCTGGCTTAGAATATCACCACTTTTCATCTTTAATGAAATATGGCCCTAGGCAGTGATCATTAACAATAGTCTGAAACCATCAGGAAAAAGCTGATGAGGCACTTTACAATGGATGGATCCACTTGACCCTGTGAACATGGTTAATATCGTGAAAAAGAAAGGACCATTCATCATAGGCCTCTGCTGTTGTGTACCTTCTGCTTCGATAGGAAGTATTTCTCCCTCCAAGTTGAACCTGGATCTGATTGAGTCTTTGGATTCCACTACCAGATTATAGGAAGCATGGGAGGCAAAATAGAGCAAGTTTTCAGGACGTATTCAGAAAGTCCACACTGTGGGAAACTGTTAGACAAAAGGCCTACTTTCTTCCACATAGAAATTGCAAAGAAAGAAAAGAGAAATGGGAATTTACAGGTTAAAGGAAACTGTGGACAAACCAGTTATAAAAAAAAAACAACAACACAAAACCACTGGGGAAATCCCAACACTAATTAGCTAATTGATGATATTAAGGAATGATTAACTTTTTATTTTTTTATTTTTGTGGCCTCCTGTTGTTATTTTTAAAAAAGTATATTTTATTAATTTTTTACAGAGAGGAAGAGAGAGGGATAGAGAGTTAGAAACATCGATGAGAGAGAAACATCTATCAGCTGCCTCCTGCACCACCCCCCACTGGGGACGTGCCCGCAACCAAGGTACATGCCCTTGTCTGGAATTGAACCTGGGACCTTTCAGTCCATAGGCTGACACTCTATATCCACTGAGCCAAACCAGTTTCAGCATGATTAATTTTTTAGATATGATAATATATAATAATAAAAGTTATTTTTCTGTAGAGCTATCTACAGAACTATTTACAAAAGAAAACGTACAATGCCTGAGGTTGCATCCAAATAATCCAGTGAGGGAGAAAGTGTGTGGGAGAGTAGTTGAAATAAGGTTAGCTGTGAGCTGATACTTGTGATGTGTGTGTGAGTTGTATTATACTATTCTATTTGACATGTTTAAAATTAGTCACTATATGTGGGAAAGTTGTTTTGATAAGACTCCCTAAATAGCTTTTCAGAGGTGAAAAAAATTACATTCCTACCAACACTATATGAGAATGCCCATTACCACACACCCTTGCGTTCTTTTAATATTTTGCCAATCTGATAGGCAAAATGGTATTCTGTTATTTTAATATTAAGGAGTATTTTAATGAGAAATTGTGTTACCATTTATACCTCAAAGGATTCTTTATCTTCTTCCATCTCCAGAAACAATCTGTTTTATGTTCTGTGCAAAGGGAAAGTGGGCTCCGATAGCTCTGTGAACAGTTTCATCACAAGGAAGTATAACCGTTGGCTTAGCATCTTTCTTTATTACAGTTCCCTTTCAACCCTCACAGTTTTTATTCCTGGCTATAACACCTCATTGATTGTCAGCTTACTCTGTGACCTGGATAAATTCCAGATAGAGAGTTGGATGAGCATTTAACACAGATGATAAATGCTCTCCCCCCACCCCCCCTTAGCAAAAAGATTTCTATTTTCAGCCGAAACCGGTTTGGCTCAATGGATAGAGTGTCGGCTTGGAGACTGAAGGGTCCCGGGTTCGATTCTGGTCAAGGGCATGTACCTTGGTTGCGGGCATATCCCCAGTAGGGGGTGTGCAAGAGGCAACTGATCGATGACTCTCTCTCATCGGTATTTCTAACTCTCTAGCTCTCTCCCTTCCTCTCTGTAAAAAATCAATAAAATATATTAAAAAAAAAAAGATTTCTATTTTCAGTGGTAGCAAAATCCAATTGAAGCCTTTTTATTAACCTGGAGGGGAGCAATGGAGGGAAAAAAGAGGAACAATTGTAATAAACAATAAAGATTTATTAAACAAGAAAAAATATTTTTTTAAATGAGTTCAGAGAGGAAGGGAGAGAGAGAGAGATAGAAACATCCATGATGAGAATCATTCATCAGCTACCTCCTGCACGTCCCCTACTGGAGGGGATTGAGTTGGAAACCCAGGTATGTGCCCTTGGCCGGAATCGAAACTGGGACCCTTCATTCTGCAGGCCGACGCTCTATCCACTGAGCCAAACCGGCTAGGGCTGAAGCCTTTTTCATATGTGTCTTTCCTCCTCCCTAAGCAAGGCACCCATAATCTCCAGACCTGGAAGCACCGTCTCTTCTTTGTTTCTGAAAATGAACATGTGCGACTCCCTACACACTGAGAAGGAAATATGCTGCCTGCTCATCGGTCTCAGTGGGGACCAGAAGCATCCTGTTGTGTTTGCTGCTGCCCAGTGTGGCTTCATATTTCACTGCTCCCATAAATTGTCTCCTCAAAAGCAAATGCATTACAGAGTTCCAGAAGTAATTACAGAGAGAGGCATTAAGTGGGTACCATTAAGTTTAACAAATCCTTTTCCTCCCATCTCCTGTGTTTTAGTGTGGGTGACAAAATGCACAGGATTGGAATACTTTAGTTTGCTTTTTCTGTGAGTATCATTGCCACTCGACCTTGCTGCCTGGCTGTTGTCTCCGGAGCAGGGGCGGTTGCCTTGTGGCTCTGGGATTCAAGGTGTATGTGAAGCTCCCCCCCTCATTTGCTCCCTAGGGGCCATTGTGATGTAGCGGAAAAAGCAGAGTCAGAATTTGAATTTTATCTCTGCCACTTAGGAACGATGTGGTAATGTGACCTGGCCTCAAAGGAATTTAAAAATATTCCTTGCTGTATTTATTAAATTGTAAGGGGACTAGCTCTCAGGAAGTATCAGATGAATTTGAATTATTAAAAATATATATGTGTTTTGCTTTTTAAAAATTGATTTCAGAGAGAGGAAGGGAGAGGGAGAGAGAATAGAAACATCAGTGATGAGAATCATTGATCAGCTGCCTCCTGCACGTCCCCTGCTGGGGGATTGAGCCCGCAACCGGGCATGTGCAGAATCAAACGGTGACCTCCTGGTTCATAGGTCAACACTCAACCACTGGCCAGACTGAATGTGAATCATTAATTGCACAAATTTATAATGCATGCCTACCGTGTATGCGTGCCTACTGTGCTCTCTGGAAATAGACAGTCTGTACCTGGCAGTGACTGTCATGGACCCTTTTCATATCTTTTCAACAGTAGTTTGCACCATTCTGCTGTACGGTCAGCCTCTGCTTGCACATCAGTCTTTCCGGATAATGCTGAAGCGTCGGGCTTTTTCTCTGCCACAGTCTTTTAGGGGAGCTCAGCGCAGGGGAGGAGAAGGTTGCTGGTACTATTTTAATGTCAGCTTTCTGAGCAGTGGCGAGAAGCCAGCAGCAACCTTGCCCAACCACAGTCTTTCTAGCAGCATCTGTGGGGGAAATACATCTCCGCTCCGCTGGAGCGCCTCTGAATTGCTGAATTCATTCTTTGAGGTTGGCTCTGCAAAGACATAAAGAATTTATGAGGAGTCGAGGTGGATATATACGCTTTGGTTTGTTCAGCGTGTGATAACATTCATCACTAACACAGGCATAACATTTAAGTGCTTAGAATAAAGGGCGACATTGAAACTGCGCTCTGAGATAGCAAGTGGGAAGGCAGCAGGGGAGGTGGCAAACACAGGAGTCCCTGCTCTTCTCCTTGTGCAAGCTTCCCTCCGCGGCTGTTTCCTCCTGCTTTTATGGAAGCCGAAGCCGAAGCCCAAGCAGCTCCCAGAATGCTGTCCTTCCACGTAAAGCTTCTAGAAGGCCCTGAGCTGCAGAGGTGGGATGCCATGTAGGAGTCTGGGCTCCAGGGTTATATGCATGCATGTTAAAAACAGGCATGCACTGTTTGAGGCAACTGTTTTTTATCTGCTTTCTGGAGCCTGAGTATTTTATTTTATTTTTTACTTTTTAAGATATTTTTATTGATTTCGGAGAGGAAGGGAGAACGAGAGAGAGAGATCCACATATCAGTGATGAGACAGTCATATCAATCAGCTGTCTGTTGCACACCCCCTACTGGGGATCAAGCCTGCAACCCGGGCATGTGCTCTCATCACTGGGAATCAAATCTGGGACCTCTAGGTCCATGGGATGATGCTCAATCCAATGAGCTACACCGGCCAGGCGAGCCTGAGTATTTTAAACATTGGGCAATGATCTTTTTAAAAAAAAAAATTAATTAAATTTTTTTTTTATTGGTTAAGGTATTACATATGTGTCCTTATTCCCCCAAGCATCCTCCTTCTCCTCTTCCAAGAGCTGGACATCAGAAGTTCTGTAGAGAGAGCAGGCGAAGCCTTGCCAGAAAAGGGAGCCCAAAGTCATGGAGAGCTGCCATGATGACATCCTCCTTCATGCCCCCCCCCCCCAAGGCTGAGGTCAGAGGTCAGGACTGATGATACCACACGCACACCATAAGGCTAGGAAAGGTCTATTGCTCACATCCTTGCAGTTCCGGGGAGACAGGGCATGCCTCTCTAGCAAGTTTGAAATGGTTGGAGGGAGTGAGAGAGGAGACTGGCTCTGGGTCTTGTCAAAATGGAGGCGTGGGGCCAGCATGAGGGTTCGAGAGCACATGGTCAGGTGCTGGTGGGGTTTGAAACTCCTGCCAGTATCAAAGGAGGGAGCCCCTGGGACGTCTCATCAGCTTGCCCGATGTGGGGCAGAAACAGCAAAAATGAGAGCAGACTCTGTTTACAGCCAATGGATGGACATCACTTTTCCGGGGCCTTGGAGTGGGCTGGTGTGAAGAATACCTGCTACCACTACCTGAATGTCACGTGTGCCCGTGTCTACAGTAACTGTAAGGGAATGCATGCTAACTTTGTCATGTGACTTTTTCCAGGCCTCATTGCCGGTGCATAACCAGGTGTTATCTTCCATCGAGAGTGTGGACGGCTCGGACCCTCTGACCACTCTGCAGAACCCTATGAGTAGACTGGAGGCCAAAGAGGATGAGGATGAGGATGAGGATGAGGACTCGGAGGAAGAGGAGGAGGAAGATGGTGAAGACACAGACCTGGATGACTGGGAACCGGATCCCCCTCGGCCCTTTGACCCGCACGACTTATGTGAGTACCAGCGAGTTCTCACGAGTGAGGCTTCCTGTGTGGACCGTGCTCCAGGGCATTGACCCTCAACTTGGACATGCGCCCTGACCGAAAATTGGACCCTGACCTCCTGGTTCATAGGTTGACACTCAACTCTGAGCCACGCCGGGCTCCTCAGATTTCTCCCGGACCTTCCGTGTGATGGTGGTAAAGCCCGTTTGCATGGGGCCAGAGCTCACCTTCATGTCCAACAGAGAACTTCCTCGTGTGATTTTCCTTGAATGCATATGTTTTCAAGGCCACCCCTTAGTCAAAATACACATAAAATCACTTTCTCTTATATGCAGTCATGCAAAGTAACTCTTCACTATTGGAGAATTGTTGAAATTGGAAATTCCTGTTTCCTAAGCCAGATCATCACACAGCCAGAGCTGGTAAAATATGATTGGTTAATTAAATTAGCTAAGGGTTGTGAGTATGATCTCTGTGTGGTCCAGTGGCTGTATATACATCATTCTGACAGTTAGCTGACAGATGGGTGCTGTGGGGGAAGAGGCAGGGAGTATGGGTGCTTAGTGCAAACTGATCACTCAGAGAATGAGCCAGTGCGTCCTTCCTGGGTGGGTCCAATTGTGCCATTCAGGTAAATGAAGGCTGGGATGTCACATCCATTCATTTTAGCATTATCTTCACGGAGTACATGGAACTCTCAAACTGCACAGTACGCTCTCTGATTTCGCTCCCAGACAATGAGATTTCTGTAATTTCTTTTGGAAAAAAAATTGATTAAATAGTATTGTCAGGTTTTCTTTTTAACAGCTTTATTGAGACATAATTTATACACTATAAAATTCACCTTTTTCATCTCATCAGATTTTATAGCATTTAGCCTAATAAGCTCTTCTTTTCTTTTTTTTTTTCTTTTCAGACATATTACAATTGATTTGTAAATTTAGTGGCCACTATTTGAATTAATATCAGTAGAGAAATAAGTCACAGCTACAGCCTGCATATTACTTTTGGCAGGCGTAGCTGATTCTGCCCGATTTTAGAGGAAAAGTTCAGGATTTTATTGATCTATGAAAGCTAATATATTACAATTGAATGGGTATTGTAATTATAGGAGTTAATTGAATTTTGGTCTGAAAACTTAGGGATTTTTTAGCTTAGAACTTTTTAATTGATTTTTTTAAGAGGGAGAAAGGGAGAGAAAGAGAAAAGGGAAGAGAGAAAGAGAAACATCGATCTGTTGTTCCACTTTTTTATGCATCTACGAGAGGCATGGTGCATGAAATTTGTGCAAGAGTAGGCCCTCGCAGCCCTGGTTTCGTCCGGAAGGTTGTCTGGAAGGTCGTCCTGATGGTTGATCCACTGTCCCGCCATTTGGTCGATTTGCATATTACACTTTTATTATTATAGATTGGTTGATTTCTGTATGTGCCCTGACCAGGGATCGAATGCGCAGCTTTGGTGTATCAGGAGCATGCTGTAACCCAGTGGTTGGCAAACTCATTAGTCAACAGAGCCAAATATCAACAGTACAATGATTGAAATTTCTTTTGAGAGCCAAATTTTTTAAACTTAAACTTCTTCTGATGCCTCTTTTTCAAAATAGACTTGCCCAGGCCATGGTATTTTGTGGAAGAGCCACACTCAAGGGCTAAAGACCCTCATGTGGCTCGCGAGCCACAGTTTGCCAACCACTGCTCTTTCCAACTGTGCTATCTGGCCAGGGCTCAGCTAAGAACCTTTTACCTGAGATCAAGTCATGTTGAAAGATCTGACCTGTGGGTTTTCTTTTTGTTGCAGGGTGTGAGGAGTGTAACAATGCCCACTCTTCAGTGTGCCCGAAGCATGGCCCCTTGCACCCCATCCCCAACCGTCCTGTGCTCACCAGAGCCCGAGCCAGCCTGCCCCTGGTCCTCTACATTGACCGGTTCCTTGGAGGTGTGTTCTCCAAAAGGCGCATCCCTAAGCGCACCCAGTTTGGCCCCGTAGAGGGACCTCTTGTCAGGGAGTCCGAGCTGAAAGACTGTTATATTCACCTAAAGGTAAGTTATGCTTTATTTGAAGTTCACTCATGTTCTTATTACTTTTAAAGAGCACACATTTTCCTACCGAGTCTTCTAACCCAGTTGATTGCTAAGGCATAACATGAACAGCTCTGTATCAGTTGGCTAGAGCTGTGTAACAAAACACCAGTTTCAATGATGGAAATGCATTTTCTCACAGTTCCGGAGGCTAGAAGGCCAAGATCAAGGTTGAGGGGGGTTGCTTTCCTCTGAGGCTCCTCTCTGATGTGTAGAGGCCCCCTGCTTGCTTGCCTCTCTGTGTTCTCTCCCTGGATGTCTCTCTTGGTGTCTGGATCTCTTCTTGTAATGACCCCACTTAAACTTTACCGCCTCTTTAAAAGTCCTATCGTCAAATACAGTCACATTCTGAGCTCTTGGGGGTTAGGTCTTCAACATGAACTTTTTTGTTTGCTTATTTTTGGCAGGGAGGGCACATCATTCATCCCATATCAGGTGCTCTAACACCTCCCCCCCACAATGATTAGAATACAGGGGGTTGTGTAAACCAGGGTTGGGGAGCGTCCGGCCCCCGAACCGTATAAGGCCCGCAAAATCCTTTAGTCTGGCCCTGCCAAGGCAGTAGGGGTAAATTAATTAAATGTTTGATCAAATATAGCAGGCTAATTTTTAAGCTGATAATATCGTATGACCTGCAAATGATGTTACAAATATCCAAATGGCCTTTGGCAGAAAAAAGGTATCTAAGTACCAATAATGTTTTCAAGAAAATCATTTTTCAATTTTTGAAGCTGATGTTGAATCTTTTGCTAAAGAATAGCACACTGTATGCTAAAATATATTTATTTGGATCTCTCCCTCTCTCTCTCTTTCTCTCTCTCTCTCTCTCTTTTTTACATTTGATGCTTTTGCTTCTGTTTAACCCCTTGGTGACTGCCTCTTTGAGAGCTACTCTGGAGAGTCAAGAAAGGGAAGTGGGAAGGAACAGTGTTTGGGATGTGTATTTTGAGAAACTAGGTGCTGTCACGGGGAGGTGTTCTTTGGTAAATGCTCTAGATCTCTAAGGAAGAATATTCCTTTGTTAAGAGAAATACAGGCTGCACATTATAAATGAATGCAGTTGAATTCCAAATGAAGGCAAGTTGTGATGAAATGGGGAATGTGTTGCTTACAGTTTCTGGTTTACTTGTAGCATTTTTTGATGTGATAGTTAATGATAAGACATCATCTGAAGCTGTACAACCAGGTGGTTCACTTTGAGGTTTTGCCAGGTCATTCTCCTACAGGTGGATCTTTGGAAGTAACCTTTCCCTCTTATATTTGGCAAGACACAGTTCCAGGATCTGTACAAAGGGGAGAACCGGGACATATGGCTTAATCTCCCATCTCCTATGGTGCGAAGGCAGAGCATATTGTAGAGTTGACTTTTGTTGTTTGGTGTGGCTTTTCACGTTCTCTTTGGTTGCAGGTTTCCCTTGACAAAGGGGACAGGAAAGACAGGGACTTGCACGAAGACCTGTGGTTTGAGTTGTCTGATGAGACCCTTTGTAACTGGATGATGTTTGTGCGTCCAGCCCAGAACCACCTGGAGCAGAACCTGGTGGCTTACCAGTATGGCCATCACGTGTATTACACAACCATAAAGAACGTGGAGCCCAAGCAGGAGCTGAAGGTACGGAGCGAGGTCCGTGGGGGACTCTGCTAGGAGTTGTGATTAATTAATGCTTTCCTTACTTTTTTTTTTTTTTCCTCCCCTGAATTTATAACAGCAAAATCACAATCACCTAAAAATCCAACCTTAGGGTCATGGCTAAGTACATTTTAGAATATAGACTTTGTGGAATAGTATCCGCAGTTAAAAATGAATTATTTTATTTCTTAAAGTTATTTTATTTCTCAAAATTAGTATTTTCTTATTGCTAAAATAATGTTCCATAACAACGATATAGGATTCTTTCAGACACAAGGAAAAGATGGACATTCCCTGTGTTAGGGAACTTGTATTCTAGATAGGGGGAGTGGGAAGATGTGAAGGGTATAAATAAGCAAACAATATCAAATGGTAGTGAGCATTAGGAAGGAAATAAATGGTACAAAAAAAGCAGATGACAAGGATTGGACCTGTTTAGGTTGCTGGAGAGGGAGGGCCTCGCTGAAGAGATAATTAGGCCGAGACTAGCTAACGAGAAGGGGCGAGCAGTGGAGCAGGGTTAGTGGATGGTGAGGAAAAGAACTCAGCATTCCTGGTGGTGAAACAGCAAGGACAAATGAAGGGTGGGGAGGGAAAGACCTGGCATGTTTGAGGAACTGTCCATGGGCCTCTTGGTTGAAGAAACGGTGAAGCAGAGTGATGAGAGCTGGGATGCTTTAGCAAGTAGGACCAGCTTATGAGCCCTTAGGAGACTGTCAGACATGTCAGGTTGTCAAGAAACAAGATGCTTTTGCTGGCTTTTAAGCATGGATATGGCGGAACCTGACGGTGTTTTAAGAAAACCACTCCAGCTTCTGGGTGGAGGATGGGCTGAGGGAGCAAGAGTGGCAAAGAGTAGGCTTATTGGCATGTATCTAGTGGCAGAGACAGAGATGAAGAACTTTCCAAAGTCAACAGTTTTTGCTAAAGGGTAACAGAAGAAAACTGAGAAGCCCAAGATAACCTTTTGGGTTTCAAATATGAGCCATTGGGTATTTATAGAAATGGTGAAGGTAAGCAGTGGTTAGTAGGGGAATCGGGGAGCAACTTGAATTCAGTTCTGGGCACGTTAAGTTGGAGCTATCTGTGAAATATCTGTAATACAAGTAGACAATAGAATGTACGTGTAGGAAACAGGGAGAGTCTAGGATGGAGATATTGAGGTGGGAGTCATTAGCATAGAATTGGTTGGAAATGGATGTGTCACCTTTGCAAAAATGAAGAAGGCCCGAACTTGGACTAAGCTTTGAGAAACACCAGTATTTATTTATTTATTTATTTATTGATTTCAGAGAGGAAGGAAAAGGAAGAGAGAGATGGAAACATCAATCATGGGAGAGAATCATTGACCGGCTGCCTCCTGCATGCTCCCCACTGGGGATCGAGCCCACAACCATAGCATCTGCCCTTGGCCAGAATTGAAGCTGGGACCTTTCAGTCTACAGGCCAACGCTCCATCCAGTGAACCAAACTGACTAGGGCGAGAAACACCAGTATTTAGAAGTCAGGGAGAAGAAGAAGAGCCAGGCATGGAGCAGATGCAGGGATGGGGGAAGAGACCAGGAAGGCGTGGATGGAGGCCCTGGATGAGAGCCGTTTGGTGACTGGTGGGGGTGGAAGCCGCGGTGATTACAGCTGTGTGAAAACCCGTGTTTAAATACAGATAAAAACCCCAGGAGACAATGAAAGAGAAACACCACATGACCTCACTCATTTATGGATAATAAAGAACATTATAAACTGGAAAAAAAAAACAAAACACTAGGAGGGGCTGTGTTTTTTTTTTTAGAGGAGGAGTCATGAACATTACCTCTTGTGAAGTTGTTTTAATAACAAAAACAATTAAAAAAAAAAAAAAAGGAAGAAGAAAACACGCTGTGTGTCTTGGCAGATGAACTTCCTGAGTGCCCATCTGCTGTCGGGTGTTGGAGGGGCTGGGCACAGTGGGGTGTGTTGTTGCTATGAACTGTCCTCCACAGGCTGTGGGAAAGCCTGCTTTGTTTCATGTGAGCAGGGGAAGTATTTGAGAATTAAGCTCGCAGGAACACGTGGTGATGGCCCCCAGTGGCTGACGTTGCGCTTGGTTCTTGCAGGTGTGGTACGCCGCGTCCTACGCTGAGTTCGTGAACCAGAAAATTCACAACATTTCAGAGGAAGAAAGGAAAGGTGGCTGCCTTTTTTTTTTTTTTTTTTTTTTTTTTAATATGTTCTCTATGAATTCTGACTTACATGGTTTGTATATTTATGCGATCCCTAATTTTTCTATCTCAGCATATTTCAAAAGATATTCCAGTAGGCTTTCTAGAGTTACACATCCCTGTCTAATTCTAGGATCAAATGACAGTGACATATTTACGTCTCTTTCATGAGTGCTGGGAAATAGTCTTTAACGTAATGAAAACCTGCAGATGTTAAATGAGAGGGTGATTCCTATCTAAATGTAATCTCTGGGGACATAGCCAGACAGGCATTGATTGTGTTTGTAATATAACGTTACAGTAGTATAACCTCCGTACATAGATGTACCAATGATAAGTATACAACTCGGCGACTTCTCATGAAGTGAACATACCTGTGTAACCTGCATCCGGGTGCAGGTATGGAATAGGACCTGTGTCCCAGGAGGCCTCTGTGCTTCTTTCAGTTGCCCCTCACCCCAATGTGAAGTCCCCTAACTTCCCTCCCAGACACGATGTGTTGGCACCGAGCTTTGTCTGATAGAACTGTGTGATTTGTACACCTCCGGTTTGCACCTTTTGCTCAACATTATGTTCATGAGATTCATCCTTGATTAATTTGGAAACCTTCCAGTGTGGTGAGGCTGTGTGTTTGTGTGTGTGTTGGGGGTGAAAGAGGGTAGTACAATATTGTTATTTGATCATTCTCATTGCTATGTGACCTAACTCCAAGTAGGTAGTATCAGAATTGCTTTATACAACCCAAATTTCCATTACGGTAAAATAGACAAATGAATTGTGGTATATTCATACAATAGAATACCAAATCGGTCCTTGGGCCATGTCACCTCCCTGACATGTTGATATATGTATGCTTAGCAACCACAGAAGCTCACCTGAGCTTCGATGCCCAGGGCTTTTGTGAGATATCATTACCCAGGCGCCATGGAGTGAATCACTGTCCCTGGGGCTGGACTTACCCTCCAGCTCCTGCTCCGCTCCCTGGCTGCTGTCGCCTTGCTCAAAGCAATCTGTAATCAGGTGGCCTGGCTTTCTGGCACAGGCAGCCTTCATCAGAGTCATCTCATTAGCATAAATTCAGGCTTGGTCAAGGACTACTATCATTCACAAGAACACATATTACTCGGGGGATTCCAAGGTCTAGAAGTTATCTCCCAGGAGCCAGAGGACAAAAGCCGGTTGAATTCGTTACTATATGGGAGGGTCATTTCCAGCTTTTGGATACTATGAAGAGTGCCACTGTGAACATTCTTATACATGTCTTTTAATGAACATGTGTGTACATTTCAGGGGTGTACCTCTCGGAGCAGAATTGCTGGGTCATAGGTTATGCATATAATCCACTCTGAACATTGTGCCAAAGTGGTTATATTGGGCATTGATTTTCAAGTTATTTGTGTTAAAATAAGATTTTGAAGCTTGCATCTGAATCACTAGATTATCTGGATACAGATTTTCACTGTAGCACTTTCTGTCCTTCCAGTGTGGTTGAGGCTGTGTGTGTGTGTGTGTGTGTGTGTGTGTGTGTGTGTGTGTGTTGGGGTGGAAGAGGGTAAGTATGAGGATGTTTGTTCCATCTTGAATATATCAGAAAATAATTATTCTTTGTTAAACTTTAACCTTTGATATTAAACAGTAATGCAAGTAGCAGACACTGTATGTTTATGAACTCGGCTGTGGTGAGATGAGTGGGGGAGGATGCTTGAGTTTTATTGGTGTCTATTGATCATCAGCCTTTATAACTTCTCTCCTGTGACTGTAGTTCTTCGAGAGCAAGAGAAGAACTGGCCCTGCTATGAATGTAACCGCCGATTTATAAGCTCGGAGCAGTTGCAACAGCATCTCAATTCTCATGATGAGAAACTGGATGTATTTAGCAGGTAGAATGATGGGGAAGGTTTCAAAAACTTAAAGTTTTTCAGACTCATTTCATATTGTCTATACACTAATAAGTGTGTATATGTGTGTGTATAGACAAAAAAAAACAGGTAGGCTGCTAGGGGGAATTTTTAAAAAAAATATTTTATTGATTTTTTTTACAGAGAGGAAGGGAGAGGGATAGAGAGCTAGAAACATTGGTGAGAGAGAAACATCGACCAGCTGCCTCTTGCACACCCCCTACCGGGGATGTGCCCGCAACCAATGTACGTGCCCTTGACCGGAATCGAACCTGGGACCTCTCAGTCTGCAGACCGATGCTCTACCACTGAGCCAAACCGGCTTCGGCATGGGGGGAATTTTTTATACAGATCTGGTAGGCCTTCTAAGTAATGGTAAGAAATTTGGATTTTATTCTGAGTGTTGATAAGAAATCTTTAGAGGGTTCTGATCAGGGAGTATTGTGATGTCAATTATATTTTAAAACATCACCCGGATAAAAATAAAACCATTTTAGCTTGTATTGGTGCAAGAGTGAAGACAGGGAGTAAGAATGACAGTGGTTTGGAAGGGAAAGGACCAGAGGACAGAGGTAGGGCTACCAACCTCTGTAGGATTTGAAGAGAGGGGACAGTGTGACATGCATTTAGGGAGTGGGAAGTTAATGGTCTGGGAAGTACAGTATGATTGCCTGCAGCCTTAGGAGCTTGCTGAAGTCTATGGCCATGAATTACAGGGAGACCACCAGCGTGGCCGTGCCATTTCCAGCTCCTTCGCTGCGGGGTGCCATGCAGAGTGGGCGGAGGGTTGGGTTGCACTGTCCACTGACCCACACCGGCCAAGGCTCTAGCGCCTTTTTTTCTGAATAATTTGAGACATCTCTTTGAGCTCTCTAGACAGCAAAGATGAGACATTTAAAAAGTATATATTAGCAGAAACGATTGTTTCCATTGGGGAAAAAATCAGGAAGAATAATAAAGTAAGGAAATCAGGATTTGGGAAAGTATTTGTTACGGTGCATTATGTAGCCATGACTACTCATAACCCAATCTCTTATCCTCAGAACGAGATGCAGAGGGAGGGGACGAGGCAAGAGGCGATTTGGCCCAGGTCGCCGGCCAGGACGCCCTCCAAAGTTTATCCGCTTGGAAATCACCACTGAAAACGGGGAGAAGTGTGATGATGGGACACAGGTACTGGGGCGCATGGGAAAGATGCTGGCTTAGAGGGCGTACCGGCACTCCTGTTGTATTTAGAGGATGTACCGACATTACTATTGGATTTAATGAAAACGCCCTTCCGAGGATGACAGCTCTGTCAGGCCAGCCCTCTGCTGCCTGTTGCTTAAAGTGTGGCTGTTGACCCAAAGGAGAACTTCACATGCCCACAGCCTGGGGCAGCAGCCCAAGCCCAGTGCCGGCTGGGAAAGGGAGTCAGTAGCAGTGCTTTCTAAGGCATCCATGAAGAAGGACCAGGGCATGGTTGGTTTTTTAAACTTGCTGATAGCTTTTTTTTTTTTTTTTTTTTAATGCAATAAAAATGAATTCGGTAAAAAAAAAAAAAAGTGTGCTAGAGAGAGGCAAAGAAAACTGTATTTTCAGATATTAGAACAAAAACCCAACTTTCCTGCCCTAAAGTTTTGAATTTGTCTGGAGATATTGGGGGACTGTTTAATTAGTTTAAAAATTAAAAAATGATGTTCCAGAAGAGTCTTTTCCTCATGAAGCGACCTGGAATGTCTCATAATTTCCACATTCTACAGATAGTTGTCTAATTAACTTTCCCAGGAGGAAAATACTTTTTCTGAGCATTACGACTCTCGTCCAGTGGTCGGCAAACTCATTAGTTAACAGAGCCAACTATCAACAGTACAACAATTGAAATTTCTTTTGAGAGACAAAACTTTTAAAAATATATATTTTATTGATTTTTTACAGAGATGAAGGGAGAGGGATAGAGAGTTAGAAACATTGATGAGAGAGAAACATCGATCAGCCACCTCCTGCACACCCCCTACTGGGGATGTGTCTGCAACCGAGGTACATGCTCTTGACCGGAATCAAACCTGGGACCCTTCAGTCCACAGACTGACACTCTATCCACTGAGCCAAACTGGTCAGGGCAAGAGCCAACATTTTTAAACTTAAACTTCTTCTAATGCCACTTCTTTAAAATAGACTCACCCAGACCATGGTATTTTGTGGAAGAGCCACACTCGAGGGACCAAAGAGCCGCATGTGACTTGCGAGCCGCCGTTTGCCGACCACTGCCCTAGCCATTTCTAAAAAGCAGTAATTCAAAACCACAGCTGACACTCTTTCTCACGCTCATCCCTATCTAGGTAAGGGACTAATTCCTGGTTATTGCCATTTCAGGACCTGCTACATTTTTCCCCCAAGGAGCAGTTTGATGAGGCTGAGCCAGCTACGCTGAATGGGCTGGATCAACCAGAACAGACCACCCTCCCCATCCCGCTGCCACAGGAGCCCCCATCTTCCCTAGAGCAGGAGCCGGAAGTTCACACCCTGCACCTGCAGCCCCAGCACGAGGAGAGCGTGCTGCCCACCCAGAGCACGCTGACCGCCGATGACATGCGCAGGGCCAAACGCATCCGAGTAAGTGGGAAGCGGGCGCTGGCCTTTCTCCAGTCAGCCGGCCGAAAGGTGCTGTCTTCCAACCTGTTCACCATCCACTTCCAAATCTCGCACCTGGCTTAGCCCACGCTCAGTCCCCTTGTTTTGGAAGAAGGTGCTAACTGTGTCTCAGTGTCTTTGTGTCCTGTGGCAGGCAGGTTAGGGGGCTGTTTCTAGAGTCCATCCATTTGTTAAGGACGCAGAGCTGGGCTTTTGGCAGCTCCTGGACTGGTATAGTTAACGTCACAGAGTCTCTGGATCCCTAAGCTCACTGATTGGAAATGGAGTGCATTTCATTATAATAGCTAAGCACATGTAAGCCAGGCTCATCCATGTCTAATCATAGCTCTCACATTACTCTGGGGCGCCTTCATTTGGTTATCTGTTAATTCCAAGGGGAGACTGGCAAGTGTCATCAGCCATCAGTGCAAAGGGACCTGTGTCCAAGCTGATGTGGCAGGGACGACCCCAAGGGAAGCTCGAAGTTAAGTTGTAGGTCCGGGAGCAGGTCAGCATCTCACCTGTGTTCCCTGCATCTTGACTTGAGGCCGCAGGGCTGTAGGGCCTGCTGGCTTCAGGTGGATGTGTCTTATTCTTACTCTGCTGATAGCCGTTAGGAGCTGCAGGGGTGCATGTGGAGAGCAACGTGGTTTTGTGAAGTAAGTGCCTGTGCTGACAGTGTGCATTCAGAAAACGGTGCCTTAAACCCCTGATTCTGAGCAGGACGTGTAAAGACTTTTATTAGTACTTTATGTGCGGGCAACAGGGCTCTTTTTGAATAACTTTCCAATTTCTGGATGGCTCATGGTTTTAGCTAATGTTTCTGTTGGTTTTTTCTCACTTGCATAGGTGCAGCTTGTATTTCTTTTGGTCTTCTTATGTGCCTATGTACTAGAAGGGACTTTGAAAAATAGTCTAGTCCATGGCTTATACAAATGCATTTAGACATTAATAGCCTCATGGTAGCATCAAAGGGCTCTGAGCCCACTGAGGCTAAATGATCTTTGTGAGGTTCCTGGAATGGACACATCTAACACTTGTGGCTCCATGTATGTTATTCAAAAGTGTATATAAACACAGAGAAACAGAGACCAGAAAGGCAAACAGCTGCGAAACTTCCCATCCATCATTCCACGTTACTTCCCAGTCTGCATTTCACCCTCTTGTGCAATTACTGTCTTCTCTGCTTTGGCCATTCTGATTTTTCACTTAATTCAGAGAAATGCTTACTAGATTTAATTTTTTTTTTTTTTAACGGAAAAATCTAAAGCCTTCTCGTGTAGTGAAGATATGGATATACAAGCATAATCTAGCTATGATTGTACTTGTATTCTTGAGTGACTGGGTTTGCTGGTTTTGGTACAAGGTTCTTCACGTCAAAGCAAAAGCCACGTGCACATGGCTTTTTAAAGGCCAGTTGAGCTATTTTTTCCCCTCTCACACATTCTAAAAGGTAGGGCTATGTATTTTTCTCATCTTTTCTGTCCAGGTTGGCACTGACCACCTGAAAGGAAGTCTTCCAATCCAATTGGTAATGTAACTATTTTTCTCTCCTCTAATGCTGCCTGCTCAGTTGGAGCTGCAGGTAGGTTGGTTTCTGTGTTTCAATAACAGAATGTTCCTTTAAGTGTTTGCCTTATCTGCTATCCTTCGCAACCTGTACTCACTAAGTCCTGGTAGGACCTACAACTTGGTTGCGGCAGTCAATGCAAATTAGTTCATGAATAATGCTAATTGATTTTCCAATAGATCAGCAAGTAATCATGGGCTGCAGATTCCTCAGACACAAAATGAAGGGTAGGACTAAGTGATCAATCCACGGGCCCTTCCAACTCTAAGACAGTCTGAGTGACTCACGGGATCGTATTGAAGTCTAACATGTGTTCAGCATGTGCTGTGTTCAATGGAATTTTCCCCGAGGCCTGTCTTATTGCAGCTTGCAGTCTGATTGAGAGACATGCTAATGTAAGGTGCTAAGTGCTAAATTTAAAAGTTTAGCATGTAATTGTTATAAGAACTTCGAAGAGTAAAAGACAAAACAAACAAACAAACAAACAAACAAAAAAGATGAAGGCGTCAATAGATGAATTCATAGATGTAGTGAGACTTAAAACTAGTCCTTCATAGAGGCTAGAAGAAGGTCGGCGGTTTCAAAGGAGGGCAGCCATGAGATGCATGCTGAGAAAGGTGTGCATGGTGTGGTTATGGGACATGCGCACACTAGCCTGTTCTTAGGGTGGGTGCCAGGCGAAGGACAGCAGTGAGTGAGGTATGTCGGGCAGGGTTATACCACCCAAGGCTTTGAATGCAGGATCAAAATAATATAAAAATTAATCAAGAGTTTGGGTTTCCTTAGCTATTAATATCAAACTTTAGAAACATGTTATGGTCTTTGTCTGCAAAGAATCTGTGGTCTCAGAACTCACTGCATTGTAAGTGGAACCTCTCATCACAGATTTTATCAACTCTACCACTTGGGCTTCCTTCTGTTAGCTTCTGCACCGTGTAGTGTGGTGTGGTTGACTGGCTGTATCTCATTAATAGAAATTAGCATTAGAGGATCCATAATGGATGCACTTGTGCTGCCTTCACCATTTTTCATGATTTCTTATGGAAATGTGTGCCAAATGTAGCTCCAAACTACTGGAGATAGCAGACTGAAATGGCCTGCATTCATGGTCGGAATGGTCCCAGCACTCCTGCTGTGCAATGTGAGGATTGCATTAGGATAGTGGTTGGCAAACTCATTAGTCAACAGAGCCAAATATCAACAGTGCGATTGGAATTTCTTTGGAGAGCCACATTTTTTAAACTTAAACTTCTTCTAACGCCACTTCTTCAAAATAGACTCGCCCAGGCCGTGGTATTTTGTGGAAGAGCCACACTCAAGGGGCCAAAGAGCCACATGTGGCTCGCGAGCCCCAGTTTGCTGACCATGGCATTAGAATCATCAGATCAGAGAAATGCAATCTAGTTCTTGAGGACTGAGACAGTTGTCCTAAGAAGTAAGGAAGTGGAGCCAGGTGGCTGCTCAGTTAGATCAAGCTTCTGAGGATGCTCATCCATAATCAGAAGTGACAGGAGCCTTATTAGCATCATGAATCAAAACCAAACTGAGTTCTGGAGTTGACATCCAAGGAGAAATGGACTCTCCAGCAAGGCCAAGGTCGGGTGGTGTGCTCCGTGTCTGCTCTTGGAAACTTGAGTGACTTGGGTGAAGGGAAAGATTCTTACCTGCTGAAAGCGCTCTGAATCTAAATTTCACGGCAGCATTTGCTTTTCTGCTATGTTTCCATAAAGTTTTGACAGGAGCTAAAATACCGAGAGCTTTGACATAGAATAAGGATCTGTAGATCTAAAAGGTTGGGCAACAGCTACAGTAGAATAAAGTGAGAGCGAGCTCTGGCTGATTTGAGAAAGGTCTATTCTTAAAGATCCCTGATGATGCTATAGGAAAGTTTGAAATAATTCTTTTTGATTTTCATACAAAATACATTCAATTAATTCCCTTGAACACTTCCACTGAAATAAGGTATTTATTTCAGTGGAAGTGTTCAAGAGAATTGAATAAAATCTGCTGCAAGCCTGGAGCAGCCCCAGTCATCTTGGAAGATAGGAGAATTCCTAAACGCCTGCTCCAGACAGGAGCGTAACATGCACCTCAGCCTGCCAGAGCGGTCCGGAGGAGGAAATTTTCTATGGCAAAGCCGCTAGGCTCAGAATTCTCGCTAACTCAAAACCAAGTATTTTGCTTTTCCCCCGGAAATGATTATTTTATAGCAAATTTAATTTAGAAGTTGCCGTGTGTAATTTAAAATGAAGGGTATAAGCATTGTTTGCACTTTTTGTTGTACAAATAATGCCTTAAAATCTCCACTAATCCTTCCATTACTGTTCCCTTCTACTTACCTAAGCATATATATATATATTTTCTTTTTTTCTTCTTCTTTTTGAGGGATTTCCCCCCTTCTCATAGTTATGTAGACCTTTTCCCTGGTTGTGGAGGAGCTAATGAATGAAACTGCATTGTATAGTTTAGCTAAGATGTTGGCTTTGTGCTGTCTGTGTGAAAGATGACTGTAATCTGCTCTCAGGAGAGATGAGCTGCTTTTCCAATTGTGGTGATGAATTTGCACTGACTATCCATATTCTCTCCCTTGGATCCCCCATAACAATGGCATGAATTTCCTAGGTGGCTAATCAACATTAGAAATGCAGTCTGTGACTGAAAAGGGGGCAGAGGCAAAACGGACTGGTTTAGACAGGAAACAAAGCAATACGCTTAACTTGGTTAGCATAGCATGCTAACCAGTGGAACTAACGAGCTGCATTGAGGTTTGTCCTCTGCATTTTCTGGGTAGAAGTGATTAAATATACAATCTTCATTTATCATGTGCACTCATGCATCTTACCTCATGAGCAAACATGTTCGCACAAATCTGTATCCTTTGTTTCTCTCTCAGTTCTTTTTCTTAAATTGAGACATAATTCACATACCATAAAAACCGCCCCTTTATGGTGGTTTTTAGAATATTCCCACAGCCGTGCAATCATCAGCACTAATTCTAGAACATTCCATCACCCTCAAAAGAAACCCCATATTCATTGCCTCCTTCACTCAGCCCTTGGCAAGTGCTACCTTTTAGTTTTTTTATTACCATATTTTTTTCTACTAAACATTTTAATCAAGTTTTGAATTCTTTATTTCTATTTTTTAAAAATATATTTTTATTGATTTCAGAGAGGAAGGGAGAGGGAGAGAGAGATAGAAGCATCAGTGATGATAGAGAATCATTGATCAGCTGCCTCCTGCACGCCCCACATTGGGGATTGAGTCTGCAACCCAGGCTCATACCCTGACAAGGACTCAAACCATGACCTGCTGGGGCCAAGCATTGAATTCTTTTTCTCAAGGACTTGGACAAGTGACGTTTGACTGACTTGCTCCAGCCTCATTCATGCACGTGTGACTTAATCCCAAGTCATTTCTTCCAAGTCTGCAATTTCTATCCCACGTCACTTTAGGATTTGTCTTACTGAGCAAGCCCTCTCTTGGGAATATGTTTTTGAATATTGCTTAAGTCCTTTCATAAGAAAACACACATATAGACATAAAACATCAAGATGAACTTCTTTGCGATGATGTCTTTATTTTTAATGTCTCGCCAGAAACATTTTTTTCCAGTGTGTCCTAGAGTTTCATTTCTATGGAAAATCAATTATTGCAGAGATCCCCCTCTCGCTCTATAAACGTGTGATTATGCATTTAAGTTCCTCCCTCAATAATCCTGTCTGTGTGTGTCTTTCAGAACGCAGCTCTCCAGCATCTGTTCATTCGAAAGTCCTTCCGGCCTTTTAAGTGTTTGCAGTGTGGGAAGGCCTTCCGGGAAAAGGACAAGCTGGACCAGCACTTGCGCTTCCACGGGCGGGAGGGGAACTGCCCGTTGACCTGTGACCTCTGCAACAAGGGCTTCATCAGCAGCGCGTCCTTGGAGAGCCACATGAAGCTCCATTCGGACCAGAAGACTTACTCTTGCATCTTTTGCCCGGAGTCTTTTGACCGCCTTGATTTGCTGAAAGACCACGTGGCCATTCATATCCATGACGGCTACTTCACCTGCCCGACCTGTAAGAAGCGGTTCCCAGATTTCATCCAGGTGAGTGTCTGCCGCTGCGATTCCTGTCTGCTTCCCTCTTTTGGTGAGAGAAACGGATTTTTGGAAGATTGAGACTGCCGTCACCGGTCACCTGCATTTTCTTCCCTTCTTTGTAACAACTTCACAGTTGAGGACATTTCTTCAATCTACTTTTATTTTTTCTTATCTTAAAATGTATTTTTATCGATTTCAGAGATGAGAGAGAGAGAGAGAGATTGAAACATCAATGATGAGAGAGAATCATTTATTAGTTGCCTACTACACATCCCCAATGGGGATCGAGTCCACAACCTGGGCATGTACCCTTGACTGAAATGGAACTCGGGATCTTTAAGTCCTCAGGTCGAAACCCTATCTACTGAGCCAAACCGGCTAGGCGGGAACTCTGTTTTTAATCTTAAAAAGAAAAAAAATGTTGGTTGCATGTAATCAGGGCCTTGACTACAAGCACTCTTCCTTCCTCCTCCTCTTATGGGAGGTTGAGATTTGTAAGGCTTCTGGCTCCTTGTTTTGTCCCTTTGTCCTAAAGAAAGTGTGTGTTGCTGAGGCCAATTATGGGTCACGTCTAATGGGATTACCTTGCTATTTCTCAAAGTGCTTGGCAACGCCTCTGGCGCCCTCTAGAGTTGATAAGCTGCCTGGTCATTTCCTTTGGTGCTCAGTCCCCTGACTTTCTCTGTCTTCGCTGGCAGGTGAAAAAACACGTGCGAAGCTTCCACTCAGAAAAGATCTACCAGTGCACGGAGTGCGACAAGGCCTTCTGCCGCCCCGACAAGCTGCGCCTCCACATGCTCCGGCACTCGGACCGCAAGGACTTCCTGTGCTCCACGTGTGGGAAGCAGTTTAAGGTGTGTGAGCAGGAGCGGCCGCCCCGGAGGTGGTTCTCACGGCCACTGCGGTCATGTCGAGCCAAGGATCAGTGCGTGTTTGTTTCATCAGCTCATCACCTATTTTCTGGACTGGAGAAATGTTTGAGTTAGATATTCGGATAACATTAAGGATGGAAACTCACCTTCATTTCCCAAAATGATTCATTCAGATCCCCAAACAAATAGAGTAATAATGCATCTCCCAAAATAATCCAAATGTATGAAAATTAGAACTAACTCGCTATTGAGGTATTCCTAAGAGAACAGTCCATTTACTTACCAAATCAAGAGATTTTTATTGAGCACTTACTATTGAGTACAGGAGGCGGATGATTGTAGGACTGTCATCTGATGGTGGTGGGACATCTGTAGGGTGCAGAGAGGGCTTAGACCGCTCTGGGGAATGTTAATGACGTCAAAGATTAAAATGAAAAATAAATTTAGTAACCTGCCCGGAATTTAGAAGCACAGGGAAAATTCAGGGGAGGCCCAGAGATCTAAACAAATAAATGTAAAAATGGTAAAAAAAAAAAAAAAAAAAAAAAAAAATTAAAAAAAAATTATTCTGCAAAGGTCTGTGGAGGGCACCCTCCTGGCTGGCTCTGTCATAGAAACTGGAAAAGTATCAGGAGGGGGAAAATAATTTTACAAGGATGTGTTTGTATAGAACATGGACACATTGAAGAGTAGTAGAAATACCTCTCAAAGCTTAAGTTTTATGGCGTGTGTGTTACAGGTTGTAATCTCAACGGCCTTTCATATATAGTAGCGCAATTTAGAACTCAATGGGAAAGTATAAATGGGTGTTCTTAATTGAAAAAAAAAAAAAAAAGACCATTTATCTAAAAGGATTCCTGTTTGGTGATGCTAACTGGTTAGCCATCCATCCCATCCACCTAACATTTTTTGGTTATCTGTTTTGTGCCAGATACCATTTTAGCACCTAGGCATACCACACACGCACACGCACACGCACACGCACACACACTTTCCTGCTAATATTTTACTTTCACCCAATATATTAGACAGACTTCACCTAGAGGTGCCAAACCACTAGGAGTACTATGGAATAAGGGGTTTTATTATAAGAGAAGATGGAGAAGTAAAGGTCTGACAGGAGAGGTTGCAGGACCAGAGAAAGGTCACTGCTGCCCTTTTGTGAAACCCTGGTCTGGGTGCACAGATGGGAACTGGGGAGTCTGGGTCCCCAGGCCCTCCCGGCTCACGGTGGGCTGTGAGGGAGAGCTGGTGCTGCCCGTGGACGACTGTGTGGCTGCCCATGGACATGGACTGGCCAGCAGGGCTGGCAGCTGAGAGCTGGTGGCTCGTGGGAGACAGCAGGGATGCTCTGGTACCATCGCATCTGAACCAAGAGCATCGTGGCTGCTGCTTCATCTCCACCTCCCAGTCTGTACCGGAGATGAGAGGACTAGTCTGGTGGGAAGTCCTGAGTTTTCACAAGTAACCGTTTAATCGTATGTCCCAGAGCAGAGCCTCACTGGGCAAGGGAGCTGGCGTGCTTTGTTTTTGCATTTGTTTTTGCTCAGGATGGGCTCTGCCTAATTGTTTTTCTATGGACGCACACCAACTTGTGCTCATCCAACTAGCCCTAGACCATGAGCTCTGTCCATAGCAGGCAGTGAAATGGTTTGCTTGAACTTCTGAATCCAGAAGATGAGAGACTCTTACATTTATTTGGGATTTAGAGGAATATCATTATGTTTGTTAAAACATGGGAGAACTAAGTTTACATTCCGCTTTGTAAATTCCGTATTACCTACCATTCATTATCAATCTGTCTTGTACGTCTTAATACCAACCTTTATTCCATATACCCTTTGCTCTCTTCTGCAAAAGTGCAGTCTTTTTTCCCTCCTCTAAAAATCAGTGTATTAAAAAAAAAAAAAAGAGTTTTATTGATTTTTAGAGAGAGAGGGAGATAGAAACATCAATGATGAGAGAGCATCATTGATTGGCTGCCTCCTGCATGCCCCCTACTAGGGAGTGAGCACATAACATGAGCATGTGTCTTGGCCTGGAATTGTGCCCTGGCCTCCTGGTTCATGGGTCAATGCTCAACCACTGAGCCACATCAGCCGGGCAAAAATCAGTAGCTTTCAAATGGAAGGGTCATTTCCCTCCGAGGCACTTACTTGCTAGTGGACAGAGTCATTCCTAGATGCTTTGCCATGTCCTCGTATGTTCCAGCTCTGACAACTCGGGTTCATGTCAGTAGGTTGTAGTCACTGCTAACTTGTATTTGATATTTTAAAAATATCGCTTCAATTATAAATTTTCTACCCCCACTTCTCACCCCCTGCCTTTTCAACACTTTTCTTTCAATAGCGCAAAGATAAGCTGCGGGAGCACATGCAGAGGATGCATAATCCCGAGAGGGAGGCCAAGAAAGCCGACCGCATCAGCCGCTCCAAGACCTTCAAGCCTCGCATCACGTCCACCGACTACGACAGCTTCACGTTCAAGTGCCGCTTGTGTATGATGGGCTTCCGGAGACGGGGCATGCTGGTCAGTGCCGAGGGGCTCCGGACTCCCCCTGCCACCTCTCACCTCTCATTTCTCTTGTGTGGTGATGGCTCTTGTATATACCTATAGTCTCTCCAGACGTGTCCACAGGTTCTGGCCATAGCTGGGGAAAAAACAGGCGAACAGTTCCCAATTTGGAGTTCTCTCCTTGCCAGTCTCCCTTCACCCTCCTTTGCTGTAGTTCAGTGGTCTGCAAACTGCGGCTCAAGAGCCACATGCTGTTTGCCGACCACTGCCTTAGGGAAAAACACTTAAAAAACATTTTAATAATGTACTAATGTTTTAACCTGAAGCCAAAACTTCTGGGTAAGGGTAATGTTTTACATAGTGGTTGGCAAACTCATTAGTCAACATAGTGGCAAACCACGGCCTACGAGCCACAGTTTGCTGACACTGCCATAGTTCATTAGAAGAGATGTATAGTTAGCATTTTTTTTTGTTTTGTTTTGTTAATCCTCACTTGCGGTTATTGTTTTCTATTGACTTTTTTTTTTTTTTTTTTTAGAAAAAGTGTAAGGGAATGGAGGTGGGGGAGAGAGAGAAACATCGATGTGAGAGAGACTCATCAATTGGTTGCCTCCTGTATGTGCCCCCAGCGGGGGGAAAGGTGTGGGAAGGGGAGAACCTGTGACCCAGGTACCTACCCTTGCCCAGGAATCGAATCCGTGACCCTTTGGCACGTGGGCCGATGCTCTAACCATGTAGCACACTGGCCAGGGCTGTCTATCACTTTTTATTGCTAGTGTTGTTTTTGCTTTACCCTTCTCAGTCTCTGTTCTCACCACGTTTTATTTCCCTCTTCTTGTTTGCGCTGCTGAGTGTCCTTTCTCTGGGCTCTTTGCCTTCTTGCCGACTGTTCCTTTAATGCCTCTTTCCAGCCATGACACAGCAACAGAAGACACTTTCATCAAGGTAGCCGAATGACCAGGTTCGCTGGGACACCAGGACAGCCAGCGCACAGCAGGCCCCAATACGGCCTTCTGTTATAATCTCGATGAGATGCCAGAGGAACTTAAGCCCTTTCGTGTCACTTAGCCTGGGGTAAAATTGGCCCCCTTAGAGTTGTTTTGTTTAAAGTCACAGAACCTATTGACAGCTACTGCATTAAGTGAGGACTTTGTATTTCTGCCAGGCGCTAAAGTTAGAGAGCATCATTTAAAATTCAGAACCTTGCCCTAGCTGGTTTGGCTCAGTGAATAGAGCCTCAGCCTGTAGACTGAAGGGTCCCAGCTTCAATTCCAGTCAACGGCATGTGCTTGGGTTGCGGGCTCAATCCCCAGTAGGGGGCGTGCAGGAGGCAGCCAATCAATGATTCTCTCTCCTAATTAATGTTTCTATCTCTCTCTCTCCCTCTCCCTTCCTCTCTGAAATCAATAAAAATATTAAAAAATAAAATAAAATTCAGAACCTTAATTTTTATCTCATTCAATGTCCTCCCTTAGGGTAGGGAATAATGAAGGACAGGGTTGCTTCAGGAGAATTCACCACAGAAGTTCCTGCTACTGTAATTTCCCTTTCTCCAACAGTTTTTTCATCAAAGACTATTCATGGGATCCACAGTGACCCAGTTCCCTTCCGGAATTTGCTGAGTTCCTGTCAACAGGGACTGCGAAGGCTTTGGTGTCAGATCGGCCTGGTTCTGGCCAAATGCCTATTGTTTTGGGCGCTGCTGCAGAGAATGTCAGCTTCTCGCTGTGGCTCGGAGACATTTGCCTAGCTTCTGGCTCTCTTTTTCTCATTTCCTTCCCCCCCCCCCCCCCCCCCCCCGTTTAGGTCAATCACTTATCAAAGAGGCACCCAGACATGAAGATAGAAGAGGTGCCCGAGTTAACCCTGCCCATCATCAAGCCCAACCGCGACTACTTCTGCCAGTACTGTGACAAGGTAACGGAACCGCCTGCCGTGTGTGTGTGTGTGTGGGGGGGAGGGGAGCCTGCATGGGGCCAGCTGGTCCGCGGTGGGAACGCGGGCCAGGACCTTCGGTGCTCTTGACAGATGGCTCCCCGGCTCCTAGTGTTTTTCCACATAACGAAGGCTGCCAGCGGAGCCTCAGCTTAAGCCAGATTGTTTTTCTTCAGAATGAGCTGGCTTTGTTCGACTCGTGTTCCCTTCTCTGTGATTTTTGCTGCAAAAGGAGAGTCTTATTACCAAGATCTTAGTCTATGGGTTCATTTAAAATGTCTTAGCTCATCTTAGAGAGGGTTCATCAGTGCGTTTGGAAGATAACGTGGTAGATTTTGGACTTCTAGCAAATCGAGAGCATGTGCCAAGGTTTTGCAATGAAGTACTCTGTGCTATTTCATTCTTTATTTCTGTACCGTTACAAAAAAGACGGAAAGAGCGTATGTGCTTATTGCTTCCCTGTAATACTGTTTCCTTATACAATGTACATTCACCACCAGAGGTCCCGGTTGCTGTTAGACTTTTCATTGTGGAGAGTTCTTTGGCATCTGGTAGTCAAGTACATACCTCGTGTGAGAGCTTTCGCAGAAAGGCTGAAGGAGGACTTGCCTTGGGAACAGTTCTCTTTCCCCGTGTACCCCCTTTTCAACTGGAGGAGAAAGGCTATTGTCACTATTGCTATCGTAGATCTATAAATCCAAGGAAGATGGAGAGAGAGAAACATCACTGATGAGGGAGAATCAAGCCTGCAACCAGGCATGTGCCCTGACCAGGAATTGAACTGTGACCTCCCGGTTCATAGGTCAACACTCAACCACTGAGCCACACTGGCCGGGCTAGATGATGCCCTTGGTTTTTAAAAAAATATATTTTATTGATTATTTACAGAGAGAAAGGGAGATAGATAGAGAACTAGAAACGTCGATGAGAGAGAAACATCGTCCAGCTGCCTCTTGCACACCCCCTACCAGGGATGTGCCCGCAACCAACATACATGCCCTTGACCGGAATCAAACCTGGGACCTTTCAGTCCGCAGACCGATGCTCTACCACTGAGCCAAACCAGTTTCGGCGATGCCATTATTTTAAAAAAAAAATATATTTTTATTGATTTCAGAGAGGAAAGGAGAGGGAGAGAGAGAAATAGAAATATCAGTGATGAGGGAATAATTGATCGGTTGCCTCCTGCACACCCCCCATTGGGGATCGAGCCCATAATCCGGGCATGTGCCCTTGATTGGAATTGAAGCCGGGATCCTTCAGTCCACAGGCTGACGCTCTAGCCACTGAGCCAAACCAGCCAGGGCAATGATGTCCTTGTTTTATTCTAATTTATGTTGTATAGTACCTTTCATTTTATCTGTTTATTTTGGGTGCATGATCTATTTTATTTTGGGCGATACTAGTACTTTTTCTCTTTTCCTTGTACGGAGATGATTAGAGAGTTGGCTTTCAGCAGGAAAGGAGAATTGTGTATGGCTCTCACGGCAAAGCATTTGACCTTGCAGGTTTACAAAAGTGCCAGCAAGCGCAAGGCCCACATCCTGAAGAACCATCCCGGGGCCGAGCTCCCGCCAAGCATTCGGAAGCTCCGTCCTGCCGGCCCTGGAGAGCCGGACCCCATGCTGAGTACCCACACCCAGCTCACCGGCACCATCGCTACCCCTCCCGTCTGCTGCCCCCACTGCTCCAAACAGTACAGCAGCAAGGTAGGGGGGCCTCTGGCGGGGTCTGAACTGGGCCTCTGGGCAAAGGGTCTCTGGAGAGAAGGTGGCTTCTCCCGGGCGCCCTGCTGGCTTCTTCTGACTTGATGGGGACTGATGTTATAAGGAGCTGCTTTCTGAGAGCTGGGAACGGAGGTGGCACAGGGGAGAAGAGGGTGGCCTTGTCCCAGGATTAGCACCATCTGGTGGCCTGAGCACTCGACTGGGCTCCTTTTTTTAAAATTTATATTTTATGATTTTTTTACAGAGAGGAAGGGAGGGGGATAGAGAGTTAGAAACATCAATGAGAGAGAAACATCAATCAGCTGCCTCCCGCACACCCCCTACTGGGGATGTGCCCGAAACCAAGGTACATGCCCTTGACTGGAATCGAACATGGGACCCTTCAGTCTGCAGGCCAGTGCTCTATCCACTGAGCCAAACCGGTTTCGGCTTGACTGGGCTCCTTTTCCTGGGCCTGCAGCTGAGGGCTCCTGTGTGAGAGTCCAGCTCAGGGTTTGTGAGCTCAGGCTTCTGAGTATTGCCTGGAGCTCACGTGATGGCTCCTGAAAAGGGGGGGCTGTGACCGACTGCGGCAGGTGCTGGTGAGACCAGGGGGTGCTGTGAGGTGTTCTGACCTTTTGACGGTGTGCATTATGTGAGTCTTTCATTTCCTCGGCCTCTTCTTTTCCCTTTTGTAGCATGGGCCGCCTTAGGGATGACACAGTCAGCATCGCTCTGACTTTTTTTTTTTTTTTTTTTAAATAGATAACATAAGAGACTTTAGGAACCTCTGTAGGTTTGCTCTTGAGAAAGCCTGAGACTAACTAATTCCAGCAATCGCTAATTCTTGGTTTTGGCCATCATTTTCCAGACCAAGATGGTCCAGCACATTCGCAAGAAGCATCCAGAGTACGCCCAGCTCCCTAACGCCTTGCACACGCCGCTGACCACCGCCGTGATCAGCACCGCCCCGGCCGTCTTAACCACCGACAGTGCCACCGGCGAGACTGTGGTGGTAAGTGTGTGGCCGGCCAGAACATCTCGTGTCCTTCAGGGGTCACAGCTTTTCAGGGCCAGAGTCTTTTTTTTTAAATTCTAATATATTTTATTTAACCCAATGTATCAACAAATTATTTCAACTTGTAATCAAAATACAAATAACTGAGACCTTTTACATTCTTTGTTCTGAAATAAGTCTTTGAACTACAGTGTGTATTTTACATTTATAACACATCTTAATTGAACTCACCACATACAAATATTCAACAGCCACATGTGGTTATGAGGGCCAGAGTCTTTATTTTTATTTTTTTATTTTTTAAAAATATATATTTTATTGATTTTTTTTTTTACAGAGAGGAAGAGAGAGGGATAGAGAGTTAGAAACATCAATGAGAGAGAAACATTGATCAGCTGCCTCTTGCACAACCCCTACTGGGAATGTGCCCGCAACTAAGGTACATGCCCTTGACCAGAATCGAACCTGGGACCTTTCAGTCCGCAGGCCGACGCTCTATTCACTGAGCCAAACGGGTTTCGGCATGAGGGCCAGAGTCTTTAGTTGACTGCAAATGTCCCCACTCTGCTTCTGATCTCCTTTGTGAAAGGGGTGGCCAGTGCTGCTCTTTGGTCGCAAGGTTGTCCGAACCTTGAGGGTAACCCCACTGGGCCTGGCACATACAGGTGGATACAGATATATAGGTAACCTTCCGGCATCTTCTCTGCTTAGGGGTTTCTTCTATGCGAGCTCAGGGCTAACTTCTAGGTTCCACGACCCACCGATGATACAAATGAGACTTTTATAGGGTCTAAGTGCACTGAAGTAGCTACAAGCAGCACTGCCGTCAACGAATGTGTTTTGTGTGAATTTTCTAGACAACAGATCTGCTAACCCAGGCCATGACAGAGCTGTCCCAGACCCTGACGACGGATTACCGGACGCCACAAGGGGACTACCAGCGAGTTCAGTACATCCAGCAGCCTCAGCACATCCAGCTTCAAGTGGTGCAAGTGGCTCCGGTACTGTACTGCATTCGTGTGTGTCTCTCTCTCTCTCTCTCTCTCTCTCTCTCTCTCTCTCTCTCTCTCTCTCAAAGCTAAAAGAAGGAATCCCCCCAGATCTGTTGTTTCATTTAATTACACTGAGGGAGTGTCCGCCAGGCGCATGAACAAACCAAATGGAAATCATGTGGTCTCTGAAAATTGGAAGCTAATCCCAGAGCAGGGAGTGGAAGCTGCCACTCACTGACTATTCTTAACAAAAAATTTTTAAAAATATATTTTATTTTTTACAAAGAGGAAGGGAGAGGGATAGAGAGCTAGAAACATCATTGAGAGAGAAACATCGATCAGCTGCCTCCAGCACACTCCCTACTGGGGATGTGCCTGCAACCAAGGTACATGCCCTTGACTGGAATCGAACCAGGGACCCTCGAGTCCACAGGCCGACACTCTATTCACTGAGCCAAACTGGTTAGGGCTCACTGACTATTCTTCATCTCATTTTTTCTTGTGGGCTGGCTCTTCATTTTGGGCTCTGGACTTGCCTGTAAAATACGATGTTTATGTACATTGTTCTGGAAAAAGGGCTCACACGTTAGCCAGTTTTCAAAGACATCTGTGCTGCATAAAAGGTTACGAACCGCTGTTCTGGTGGTTCAGTCGAGAGAAGCTGAAAGGCAATTTTCTTCCGTGATATCTTTTAACTCGTAAAATGTAGGTAGGCCATTACATTTAATTGAAATTGAAAGGGAAAGATTTCCGATTCCGGAGAGCGTCTCATCCAGCTTTTATTAAGAGCTATATTTCTTTTGGCTCCTTCTCTTTCACAAGTTAATAGCATGAAGTGGCTCCCGTTTTACAAGCTTCAGTTTAAAAACTGCCTCTTTTCCCTGCCGTTTGCCAGCTCTGCTTAGGTGCGGGCTCTCTGGGCTTGGAGCGTTGGATGGAAGCTTCTCTTCTCTCCCCTCCTGTGTTCCTGCTGGGGTATCGCTTGCACTGAACTTCTCTGGAGGGATTTCCCTTCGCCTCGATCAGCGTGGGTTTGTGTTTGTCTCCCCCAGGCCACCTCCCCCCATCAGTCTCAGCAGTCCACCGTGGACGTGGGCCAGCTGCACGACCCACAGACCTACACCCAGCACGCCATCCAGGTGCAGCACATCCAGGTCACCGAGCCCGCCGCCTCAGCCCCGGCCTCTCAGGTACACGAGGCGTGGTCTGTTCACGGACGTTAGTCTGACCCCGGGACCCTGAGGAATGAATAAGAGTGAAGAGACATCCCCTTCAGACCTTGTCTCCTTGGCTCCTGAAATATTGTTAGCATGCACCTTAGATTTCATATGGGTATTTGGACGCACGTTAAGTGATTAGCTTCTATCCCAATGGGCCCCGTGATGGGACATCCTGCAGATGAAGTGGGTGTAGGGCCATTTCCACAGGGAAGGGGCTGGGTGTGGTCACTTGGCCTCCTAGGATGAGGGCACAGCAGACCAAGATTCCTGCAGAACCCCCCCGACCCGGGTCTAAGGACGAGATGGCCATGGAGATCAATTCTGGGAATTACGAAGATTACGTCTAGGACATTTTTGTAGAAGTGGTGTTTGCATTAGGTCTGGAAGGAGAGGTAGGGTTTTGACATGGTACTCGGGAAAAGCATGATGACTTGAATCTGGTCTCATTCGAGGAAAGACACAGAGATGGGACATTATGTATTTATAGAAAGCTGTTTAGGTACTAACAGGAAATGGTGTTTGGAGAAAAAGCTGGAAAGGTGGTTCGGAGCTGGAGTACTTCTGTAATATAGATAATGATATTTTCACTCACTTATCTTTCTAACAAGATACTCTTGGAGATAATCCTTTGAAAACTAAGTAGCATTTCATTGTGATGAGTACTTTTCATTGATCCTATTTGTTTTTAAAATATTGCTATTTTAGCAAGGGTACTTTCAATATTATAATTCGTCCTAGCCTGAATTACTTCTTCAGTGATTTAGAGTCTTCGCTATATTGAGAATTCATGATTTTTCTACCCTTGCTTTCTCTCTCGCTCCAGGTGGCTGGGCAGCCCTTGAGCCCCTCCTCCCAGCAGTCTCAGCAGGGGCTCAGCCCCTCCCACATGCAAGGCAGCTCCTCCGCCCCAGGCCAGGCTCCCCAGCAGCAGCAGAGCTCTGTGCAGCACACTTACCTGCCCAGCACCTGGAACTCCTTCCGTGGCTACTGTAAGTGAGAGACAAGGGCCCTGGCTGGGTGGCTCAGTGGGTAGGAGAGTCTGTCTGTTCACCAAAAGGCTTGATTCCCAATGAGGGCATGTACCCAGGTGGCGGGTTTGATCAGGATGCTTGCAGGAGGCAACTGATTTTTTTTCTTCTTCTCACATCAATGTTTGTCTCTTGCTCTCCTTCTCTCCCTCCCTTCCTCTCTGTAAAGTCGATGAAATAAAAAGAAACAAGGGGATAAAGCTGCAGGTCATCGGTGGGGAACCTGCAGCCATGGGCCATCATTTCATTAGCTTTACAACGGGTTTTCTAGATTAACGTCTCATTGACCATTTTCTTCACTCTGCATGTACTTGAGTTTCGTGACAGAATTCAAGAGAGCATCCTGATCAGAGAGCCACCCATTTGAGACATGAAGACTATTGCTGGAATAAGTGTAGGCAGGTGATTTAAATAGTAGAATAGATGGACGTAGGATCTGTCAATAGTATTGATTCATGTCTTCCACCAGTATTTATTGAATGTCTGCATCTCAACTAGTGTGCTAGACTCTGGGTGTACAGAAGATTAATATTCACATCATTAGTAATAATAATGCTAGCCAGCTTTCATTAAGCTCTTGCTATGTGCCAGGAAGGTTTTTAAGCCACAGGAGATACACATTCAGTATCCACATCCTATAAGATAAGTACAATACCTGTTTGTATTTTATAGATAAGATAACTTAGGTACAGAGGAACTTGTCTGAGGAACATAGCTTGTAAATAGAGGTTTGAGCCGGGACCAGTTCGGCTCAGTGGGTAGAACTGGTAGGCTTGCGGACTGAAAAGTCCCGGATTTGATTCCAGTCAAGGGCATGTACCTTGGTTGCGGTACATCCCCGGTAGGGGGTGTGCAAGAGGCAGCCGATCGATGATTCTCTCTCATCGATGATTCTAACTCTCTATTCCTCTCTCTTTCTCTCTGTGAAAAATCAATAAAATATATTTAAAAAAAAAAAAAAAATAGAGGTTTGAACCCAGCAATCTGGATCCAGAGTTGACACCAAACCACCCTGCAGGGCTGTCTCTCCTAAGGAAATTGTCTTTGGCTCAAAAAAGATTGAGATAGAGATATGAGTAATTGCTTTCAAAACCCCAAGATTAGCGCTACGGAAGCAGTAAAAGGCTGGCTGCTGAAGTTCAGGATAGGTGACGGTCTGGGGATGACAGCCTTGGGTATGAACTGGAAAGTATGGGACCTCTGTGACTGAAGATGTGATAGGAACAGGACTGGAGGTAAAGGCCTCAGTACAGGAACTAGGAGGGATAGGGGCTGAGAAGGTGAGAAGGCCAGTGGTGATTTCTTTTTTGTGTGGGGGGTCCATCTCTGTTGTGTTTGGTTATTGGCTATGTTGTGTATGGAATTAGGCTCCACCCCGTCCATTTAGTTATTTTTACAGTCTATTCTCTTAAATATTGGTGGGCACTACGAGGCCCGCGTCTCGTTTCTAATCATGGTGAATACCAGTGGGATCCTGGTCAACAGGCTGGCATTTATTCTCAGTTTAATTCCTGTGAAGGAAACATGGAACGATGAAGACAGCCATGGTCGTAATAGTATGAACTAGCATTCTAACCTGAAGAAAGGATTCCAGAACTGAACTTCTTTATGCATATTTCCTATTTTTCAGCATCGGAGATTCAAATGATGACGCTCCCCCCAGGACAGTTTGTGATCACAGATAGCGGTGTGGCAACTCCGGTCACAACTGGCCAAGTGAAGGCGGTTACTCCGGTAAGCTGTGTGCTCGCGAAGGTTTTCCTGTCCACCCTACTGCACCCTATTCCTCTCCCCCTGCCTCCTGCTCCCCAACCTGCAGTGTCTGAGTCAGAAGTACCTCTCCTGTGCTCCCATTACAACTTGAGCTGCATTCAAACCCTGTCACAGTTTCATTATTGGTTTACTACGGTATCTGTCTTTTCTCAGTAGGCAATGAATTAATTCCTTGAAAGCCATGTCTTGGTTGTTAACTCTTTTGTGCCTGTTTTATTCCCCTTGTACTATTTCTTTACAGATTCCTCCCTCTTTCTGGCCCCAGGATCCCCTACCCCCGTTAGGCCTCAGCTTTCTAAAGATCCTTTCTTCCTGCTCTAGGGTCATTATGTGTTGTCAGAAAGTCAACCGGAACTGGAGGAAAAGCAGGCTTCCGCCCTCTCTGGGGCAGTCCAGGTTCAGCCAACTGCTCACAGTGACTTGGACCCTCAGACAACCAGCCAACAGCAGGCCACACAGTACATCATCACAACCACCACCAACGGCAACGGGAGCAGGGAAGTGCATATCACCAAACCTTAACCGCCACCCTTGAGCTAGAATCCAGCAGTCACATCATGTCTCTTCTTATTCATACATCGGAAAGCTTCTGACACTCACAACTCTTTTTTACCATCTGTCATTCACCCGAGAGTTTGGAGGTTACGGTTTTGACACTGGTACAATGGACTGGGGTTTATTTTATCAAGGCCACCTTTACCAAAAGGATTCTGGGAATCGCTGGTGTGGAATGGAGATCTTTCAGTGGCAAGTAGAGTTCAAGATGGAGAGATTTTGCCTCGTTCGTGGGTTGATTTTTTTTTAAATACATTGATAAGCCTTACTTTTCCTTTGTGGGACTGTTAAGTGGCGTATTGTGTTTGTACCAAAGGTGGAGAAAGGGTGTGACAAGTCCATGGCCATGGACCTCATTCCAAGCCGTGGCACCAAAGGAGAAGGGGCATTTTATGGGTCTGTGTTAGGCCAGAATCGCTGCATCTTTTGAGTTTGCAGGAACTTAACCAATGGGGCCTACTGACTATGAAAATAACCACAATGAAACAAAGGGGGACAGTGATATTCTGAAGGAAAAACTGTCTAAATTTTTTTTATTGCTGAGTGAAAAAAACAACTTGCCTTTTTTTTTTTTTTTTTAAAATCACTGTTGGGCTATTGGTAATATTTCCCAGAGATACTGGCCTCAGCACATAAGGCCCAGAGACCAGGTTCTGCTGGATCTTACTTTATTAGTCCACAACGGTGGACTCCCTGTAAGAAAAAGGTTGCCTGATGTCAGCAGAATTTGAATTTCTGCATTAAAGCATTGCCACCATTCTCTGATGTGGTGGTAATAAGGAGATACTAGAGACAGCTGTACCAAGTAAAATTACGGAGAATATATAATATGTATATAAAGTGAAAAGCACTGAAACATTGTCCTTCCTTGCAGGATCCATACCATTCATTGGTAAAGGGTGAATTCCTTTCTCTTAGCAGGTGGATACTGGGCGCAGCAGCATTCAGTGTATTTTAGGATTTTTAATGCTTTCTTAAAATGAACATTCTTTAAGGTTGGATGGAAAGGGGCCCTCCTCATTTCTTACCACTCTGACCTTAAACATGCCATAACTCACTTGGACCCTTTGGTATGACCAACTTCACACTTGGGGGTAATATAAGAATGTGGGGACCATTATAATACATCAAGGCAATGATTTTCAACCTTTTTCACCTCCTGGCACACATAAACTAATTATTAAAATTCTGTGGCACACCAAAAATTATATATTTTTTGCCAATCTGACAAAAAAAGGTATAATTTTGATTGATTTACAAAAAAAAAATAATAATTTCCTACCCTTATTGCTTGTATATAAAGATTTCTGGTACCAACAGCTAACCAATCAGGTGAAACCTTTTTATGCAATGCAACCAATAAGATGCAACTAATTATTATATGATCTATATATATATATATAGGGTGTTCCCCCCAAATGTATACATACTTTGGGTTTTTATAAAGGCAATGTTTATTATAATACATATTCCTTTCAAAATTGAGCTATCTGCTATTCAAGTGTGTATACATTTTTGGGGGACACTGTATTTATGGTTCAAGTCAGAGCATTCATACCAGATGGCTATTGTTGTATTGGCTATTGTCATTTTACTTATTTGACAATCTGAGAAGAGGTCAGTGCCCCTGACTAAATAAATAGTCAGGTATTGAATGTTTTTCAAATTCTCCTTGCAGCGCACTGGTTGAAAATCACTGCATTAAGGGATCTGGGAGAAATCCAATCTTTATGGCTATTACACTATCTGTAGAAAAGGAAAAAAATCTGCCTCAGTAATAGTTTTGCTTATATGCATTCCTCTTTGTTAGCTATGAATTCATTGGGGGAAAACATTTTCCTCTTTTTTACTATACATTCCAATTGTACACAGAAAACACTGCAGAGATCAGTATGTATTTTAACAACTTTTTATGATATACTAACACATTTTTAGAATAATTACTGATGGTAGAATTTATCACTGCAGAACAGAACGACCTGACTTAAATTGCAAATGAAATTAATTTATTTTATTTACATTTCTGGGTAAAAACTGGTTCTATCAATTAAGTATAGTAGTGTCTTTACTAAAGCAAAGATAACTTTTCTGAATAGGTAAACAATGCAACTAAAACAACTTTACTAATATGTAGATTTTTGCACTTTATTTCTGAGACCTCATTTATTTAATTACCCCTAAAAATTTGGGCACTAGGAGAACTTGAGAAAGTTACTTGGGAAATGTGCAGAAACTGAAAATGGACCCTGTATCTTTGGTAACAAAGGGATAAAATATTGACATTGAATGACATATTGGAGACTCTGGGTCCCACAGTCCCATGTTGTAATGATTGTACATATCCTAGGATCCAGTCTAGAATGACTTGCTAGGTGAAGAATACACTTCCCGAATGATCCAGTTTCGTTTTAATACCTTCAATTTGGCTCTCCTGGGTCCTTTTTAATTTCAATCAGCAAGGTACCTCTCCCTCCTCACCTCAGGAGTAACACTGATTAACATAGAAAACTCTCACCAAATAGAATGTTCATTTTATACCAGTTATTTCAAGTTTTAAAATACACAGAAGGAAATGTGGAAGGACCTTTTTGTCTATTTCCTAAGTTTGTTTGTTTTTCCTTTCTTTCTTTCTTTTGTTCTAATGTGGAATAAGTAAATCTCGAAAGCTAATCTGTATATCATCAACCAGAGATGCAGGTGGCAGTCAAGCCAAATACCACTGCTTTAAGATCAGGTATTCCGCACATTCATCCAAGGTAATAAATTTTCAAAAGAACTTGGATTTGAAGAGATGGCAGAGTATAAGTCATCTGAACACCCAGTTTTGGGGGAAAAATGTTTGTAGCCAATGTTTATATTGTTTTATTCCTTAAGACACATTGGCACTGGAGACTTCAATCAGTGCAGTGTAAATTTTGGAGTAACATAGATTTTACATTTTTATTGCTTGATTTGTGCCCCACATAATAGACGTTTTATCATGTAAATTTCCTGTTAGCCAGGGGAAAAAAACTATTATTTTGATTCTTGAATTTTTTTTATTTTTATTTTTTTTATTTCCAATGATCCTTTCAAAAAAACTCTTAGGGCTAAAAAGCACTTCATGAGATGCTAAAGCCGACCCCCGGGTTAAAAATGTTGACCCTCTCCTGTTATTTAAATGTGAACATTTATTGTACATTCAGTGAGTTATAGTGTTAATAGTCTTGTGCTACTCAGCAGGTGTAAAGATTAATAAATATTTTTTTAAATAAACATCTTCCTTGTTTGTATGTGTGACGCTTTAAGAGCTACTGAGACTGTTGAATTTTTTTCCCTACTATTTCAACTTACAGCGTTTTGACTCTTTGATTCACTGTGGTCTGGTCAGACTCCCTAGGAGAGAATTTGTGGATGACGACTGTGGACTGATGTTCTGCTTATTCACTTGGTGGTTTCGAATTCAAGAACTTACCAACTTTCTAACAGGAAATAAGGCTAGGCTTGCAGCCAGCAGGGGAGCAGAGAGGGTTTTTTCTTTTTTGTTTGTTTGTTTTTTTGAAACTTCTATTTTTCAAAAAGAGAGGGATCTTTTTTGGGGGCCCTCCAGCTTCTCTGACGTAGTTGTATCCTATCCGGCTGTGTGGCTCAGTAGTTGAGCCTGGACCTATGAACCAGGAGGTCACCATTTGATTCCTGTCCAGGCACATGCCGGGTTGGATAATTCTCCCATCATTAATGTTTCTATAGTCTTCTCCCTCTCCCTTCCTCTCTGAAATCAATAAAGAAATATATATATTTTTAAAAGTTTTTCTTTTTTAAAAAAACTTTATAATAAAATAGAGAACTGAGGATGATCTCTGCACACCTGCTGGGAGTAGCTATGGAGTGTGAAACTAGTGAGTAAGAAGAAAGAGACATAGAATCTTAACAAGAGGAACGTTATCCAGTTTCAAATGTATTTCTTCAGTGTATATAATTTCTTCCGACATCCAGGGTCCTGGGTCGGGAGGGAGAAATGGGAACACACGAGGGGGTGGGGGGCAATAGGCTCGAGTTCCCAGTTTTTCAAAATGGGAATTAATAGTGCATAGAACTCAAAATTGGAATTAATCGTGCATAGTACAAAGATAGTTGATAGAAAATGCTTAGCATAGTGTCTGGAGCAAGGTATGCTCTCTGCAAACCTTACCTAATAAAACTGCATTCAGTGAGTCGGTTTTTGGGGCCTCAATTCGCGGCCAGGTGAAAACTACACACCGCCTCTACCCTCCAGAAATTTCTAAACCAGGTGCGACCTTCAAGCTGGTTGCAAACTGCATCCTGAGACACAGAGGAGAGAGCTCCAGCCATTCCCTTTCCGCCCCACCCAAGGCCCGGCCCCGCCCTAGGCCCCGCCCCTCCCCAGGCCCAGCTCCGCTTCTCTACTTATCGTCTGGCCCCGCCCACAGACACGCCCCTGCAGGCCACGCCTCACGCAGCCCCGCCCTGACGTCCCAGGCCCCGCCCCATCTAGGACCCGCCCCCCCGGCATTCAAGGCCCCGCCCCTTCCGCCGGAGCCCGGAGCGTGCACGCCTTGCGAGGGCGAGCGCGTCTTGCAGCCCGCGGGCCGGGGATCGCAGCGGCCAGCGAGGCCCGCGCTTGCGGCCGAGGTGAGGGCGGGCCCCAGGGGGCGAAAGGGTTAAGACGTTGCGGAGGGCGGGGGAGCGGGGGGAGGGAGGTGCTGCGGGCTCCGAGGGTCGCTGCTCGGGTGGGTCTGTGGCGGGGACCGGGCCCGTGGGAGCTGGTGGCCCGGTTGGGAGGAAGGGGGTCAGGGTTGGGGCGGAGGGGCCTGGGCGCAGCGGTACAGATTGGAAGGGTGGGACCTGGGCCTCGGGCTGGGGCGGGGTTGACTAGGGGATGACGGATTTGGAGCCTGGGGTGGCCCCGGAAGGAGCCTAAGGTTTAGGTTGTTTGGGGGGATCGGGAGAGGCCGGGGAGGGTCGTTTAGCCCTGATGCAGAAGAAAGGCCATTGGGAGAGGCCTTCTTGGTCTAGGAAAGAGGTCCAGATGCCACAAGACTTAGAAATCCTTGGCTTCCGGGGTTCCAACCTCTGGCAGTTGCCTGCTTTTTTTGTATTTGGAGAGCCGATTCAGAATGGTAGCAGGGCAAAGGTTGCCCCTGGGTAAGATTCAATTTAGCTCCAGGTCCACCGAATTGAAGACACTTGGGAGCAAGTTGTGAAACAGGTGATCGTCCTAAGAGGCAGGTGGAACACCGGCTTTGCAGCTCTTAACCCTGCTGTATGTCAGTTCGTTTAAATTGGGACTTGATTCTCAGCAGCGGGTTGCTTCTGCATTTTTGTTTTTTTGTGCTTTCTCACCTGCTTCAGTCATGTAGCACATGAGATGTTTAGGGTGTTGTAATTCACTGTGGCTGGCAGGGGTACACAGCTGCTTGGTTCAACACTGACCCATCCGCTGGGTCTCACGTAGATCTGAAGATAAACTTGAAGTAATTTAGCGGGGAGGTGCTTGTTTTAACAGTAAATTGACATGTTTGCTGTTTATCATTTGAGAATTTCAGAATGAGAAGTCATTCCGTTACTACGTTATGTGACTGCGTTAAGTCACGTAAACTCATCCATCTAGAGATTGTTCCTTGTCGGAATCCAAGATTGGCCTAACCACCCTTCACCAATTGACACCTGGCGAGGTAAGATTTGTCCAGAGTCACTGAGATGTGAAGTTTGGTATTTTGATTTGTAGCCTCTTTTTTAAAACATATTTTATTGATTTTTTTACAGAGAGGAAGGGAGAGGGATAGAGAGCTAGAAACATCGATCAGCTGCCTCCTGCACACCCCCAATCCGGGATGTGCCCGCAACCAAGGTACATGGCCTTGACTGGAATCGAACCTGCGACCCTTCAGTCCGCAGGCTGATTCTATCCACTGAGCCAAACCGGTCAGGCCATGTAGTCTTTTTTTTCTTTTCTTTTCTTTTTTCCTTTTTTTTTTTTTTTTTTTCTTTTTCCTGTGCTTGTTATTGCTTGCCCATTTGGTAGGAATAGGAAATAGGGCATGGGCTTAGCCAGTGTTCCTGGAGTGATGGAGTCCAAGCTCCTTGTTCCTGAGAGCTTTGCTCAGTCCCGTGGCCACAGAGCTTTGTTACATGGATTCTAGCCATCAGCCTTGTGAAATGTTTTCATATGTACTTTTCTAACGGTGGCCAGCTGTGTTCCGTTATTAAAGGAAGGAGAAAAAATAGCATTACATTTACATGGCTATAAAAATCGGATGGACCAACTAAAGGTGGGTTGGCCTCCACGTAGCAGAAGGTCACGGTCAGGTTCTTGGAGCCTCGAGTTTATTTGGACTAATAAGGTCACTCTAAGGTGCTCCCTTTTCATGATGTAAACCGGAAGTTTAGATAGGGTGCATTGTGTGTAGTGTTAAGAAATGACTCTGCCGCCAAGCAGACCTGAGCCTCAATCCTGTCCCTGAGGTCAGGCAAGTTATTTATCTATTTGTTTTACTGTCTGTAGAATAGATATAATAACTACGCCTTTCACAGCTGTAAGAATTAAATGACGTAGGCCCTCATTAAGTAACTTATTGTTAATGTCTGAGCTTGATTAGTCTGTGTGAATTTTCTTTTGTGAAAGAGCAAAGACTTAATTGCTAAAAAAAACCCATCACAATTGTTAAATTATATATTTAAAAAAATGTATTTTATTAAATTTTTACAGAGAGGAAGGGAGAGGGATAGAAAGTTAGGTCAGCTGCCTCCTGCATACTCCCCACTGGGGATGTGCCTGCAATCAAGTAACATGCCCTTGACCGGAATCAAACCTGGAACCCTTCAGTACGCAGGCTGAGGCTCCATCCACTGAGCCAAGCGGTTAGAGCTGTTAAATTATGTTATAGTGGAGATATTATTGGCCTGGGAAGTCTAGAAGTCTAAATTATGCGCTCTGCTGATCCATTCATCGAGTCTGCTTTTGCTTATGTGTAAAGTGAAGTTAGAAAACCTATAAATTTGGGAGCTAGGAGAAGTCTGGTAGGATTTTAAAGTTCAGATGACTGTGGAGTGTTGGGCAGGAGAGAGAAGAGCTGTTCAGCTGCAGTTAGGGTGTGAGGATAAGGGCTAAGGGAGGGTTTGAGGTGGAATATTTTCTGGGCCAGAGTTATTTCCTGAAGGAGCGTGTCCACCAGATCTCTGGGATTTCTGCCTTTCTGTCTCAAGCCGTGCCTGCCTGTGTTTGTCTAGATTCCCTGTGGAAGATAAAACATGGATTCCTTGGACCATATGCTGACGGACCCCCTGGAACTGGGTCCGTGTGGAGATGGCCATGGGGCACGGATTATGGAGGACTGCCTCCTGGGGGACACCAGGGTCAGTCTGCCGGAGGACCTTCTGGAGGATGTGAGTTACATCATCACCCTCTTTTCCTCTCTCAGCCTCCCCACAGCCACTGTTCTCATCCTTTGCAGTCTCATGTTAAGGATGAAACCTCTGTTTCATTCTCTGTACTGCAGTCAGAGTGATCTCTGTCTTTTTTTGTGGAGAATCTGTTGAATACTCTGAGTAAGGAATAAATGATAAGCGACATTCTGCATGTTTAATAACTTGATAATATGTGACAAAGCCCTATTTTTAACAAGTTAATTTTCAGCAACGAGCGAGAAGTTTTTTAAAGAGGAGAATTATGTGTATGTTTACATCGATTACCCATGTTGTGATTCATGAAACCAAACGCAAATGTGTCCTCTCTGGCTGTAAGGAACCTGCTCGTCAGTTATTCATGTGTGTCCTGGGCAAGCATATCAGCGTGCGGTGACCCCTTTCACAAAGAGGCTATGATCATTATCATTAAGGTGGCTGCCATTTATTAAGTGCTCAGTACGTGGAAGGCGCTAGGTGCTGAAACATCTGTTTCTCTGTCTTGGTTTATTTTGCATATTTTAAACATAGTTGCTGTGTCATAAAGCTGACATCCATCTGAGCATCATCCAGCTTTAGGAGATAATTTTATTTAGTCATATTTGGTTCAGATTTCTCTTTCATAATATGTGCCATGCCGGCACTGCCAAGGGTTTGGCGAGCCCGAGGGGGACTGGTGAAGGATGAAGAAAAGACAGACAAAGAGCATAAGCTGGGTCTAGGTGGATCTTCTGTGCCTGGCTGAGGCCACAGAACAGATCCAGACTGCAAAGCTGATGCTTTATTTATAGTCAGGGACAAATGTAATTTACAATGTTCTTGTAAGTTTCACTTGTTTTGACAGTACTTGCTGCCCCTCCCATAGCCCACTAGCTACCCAGGAAAGATTGAGGGAACAGTTATAAGATCAAGCTTAATGATGCTTAGAGGGCTGTGCCCTCCAAGCTGGGACTTGTTTGAGACTTTGCCAGCAGGTCAGTCCGAGGCTTAACTCTATAACCGCTTCCTACAATAATATGTCAGACATTTTCGATAAAATTAAAGCTGCCAGTCTGCCCTTGTTTTATTCCCTCTCTCACCTGAAGTAACAACCACTGAAGTCACTGTATATCCTTCCATGTTTCCTTTGCATCCTCTTTCAAGTAAATCTCCTGTGTCACTCAGTCAGCAAACACTTTTTTTTCATTAATCACCTTCTTTATGCCAGACCCTGAGGTGCTGGGAATAAAGTGGTGAGCACCAATGGGCTTGCAGGGGAACCCGTTGCTGAGGTGCTTTGTGTACTCATGCTGAGACCGTTGATGGCTCCCTTTGCCCGAAGGGTAAAGGCACAAGTACTGAGCATGCTCACAGGTCCCTTGTTCCTGCTGCTTGCTGCTCCACCTCTCCTTCCCTGTCCTTGTGCCAGCCTCATGTTGCCTGAATTCTTTTTGTTCTTGGGTTTTTAACCCTTTTGCCTCAGTTTTTTTTTCTTTTCCTTATCATCCCTCACTGTCTTTTAAAAAAATGTATCCTATATAATAAAAGGCTAATATGCAAATTGTCCCTTTGGGAGTTTGACTGCTCGCTATGACATGTGCTGACCACCAGGGGGCGGTGCAAAACAAAGGAAGGCCCCAGCTTGCCCTGATTGCCTACGGACCTTACCTATGTACAAATTTTGTGCACTGGGCCTCTAGTCTATATTTTTATTGATTTCAGACAGGGAGAGGGAGAGAGCAATAGAAACATCAGTGATCAGAGAGAATCACTGATCAGCAGCCTTTTGTGTGCCCCACTGGGGATTGAGCCCACAACCCAGGCATATGCCCCGACCGGGAATTGAACCGTGGCCTCCTGGTTCATAGGTCAATGCTCAACTGCTGAGCCATGCCGGTCGGACATCCCTCACTATCTTAAATGTCACTTTCTCTGGTAGGTATTCTCTGAAACCTTCAGTCCGGGAGGTGTACTTCTCCTATGTGCTCATAGGTAAACTTCTTAAGCTGCGTTGTAATTGCTTGTTTAATATTTCCCACAACCAGAGAGTGTGTATGCAGTACTAGTCTGTCTTAGTAGCACATAGATGTCCAGTATGTGATTGTTAAACTGAAAATGAGCTCAATCCCGCTGCTTCTCACTCTCAGCAGGAGACCTCAACTCCTCAAGCTCTCTCCTCCCGTGTTAACTTTTTCCTGCCCCTCATTTTTGCTAAACTCAGATTTCTGCCATCATGTCCCCTGCTGACAGAAATGGTTCCCAGATAGGGTTCTCTCTACTGAGATGATTTTCCTCAGGATTACTTGCTGTTAGATGTAAGACTTTGGTTTATAGGTAGTCTTTATGAATCTCTTAAGTTTTGAGAATTGAGGAAAGATCAGTGGAATTTTAGTTTGTGTAAAAACACTTAAAACGTGCATGGTGGCAATGGTTGCCCAACAGTGTGAACGGACTTAATGCTACTGTACAGTTAAAAATGGGTAAAATGGGAAGTTTTATGTCATACATATTTTATCACACAGAAAACTTTTTCTCTCGTTGACTTTTCTCCTGCTTCCCCTCATTCTCCCAGCCCGAGATATTCTTTGAGGTGGTCAGCCTCTCCACGTGGCAGGAAGTGTTGAGTGACTCCCAGCGGGCGCACCTCCAGCAGTTTCTGCCCCGAGTTCCAGAGGACAGCACTGAGCAGCAGAACCAGCTGCTCCTGGCCCTGTTCAGGGGCGAGAACTTCCGCTTCGGGAACCCCCTGCACATCGCCCAGAAGCTCTTCCGAGGTGCGTAGCTCAGCAGGCTTTCGGGTGGAGAGGAAGGTGGGGACCCATTCAGTCATGTGCAGGCATTCCTTTTAGTCTGTCTGTTTTATGTACAAACTAGAGGCCTGGTGCATGAAATCTATGCAAGAGGAGGCCTTCCTTCTCCTGGCTGCTGGCACCCAGCACCTGGGCTTCCCTTGCAGTCCTGGCTTCCTCTGGAAGGTTGTTGAGAAGGATGTCCGGTCTAATTAATATATTATGCTTTTATTATTATAGGTTATTATAGATAGGTACCGACTTAGCAGATTGGTTTTGTGCAACACTTGCTGCCTATGCCATCTTTAAAAAAAAAAAAAAAAAAAAAAAAAAAAACTTACATAGGAAATATATAAATCATAAATGTATTGCTCAATGATTTATTATAATATGAATTCAGCTATGTAAAACAACCACCTAGATCAAGAAATAAAACATTACCAACTCGCCCTGGCCCTTGTGATTCAGAAGTTAGTGGCAGCCTGAGCCCTAAAGGATCATAAGTTCTATTTCCAGTCAAGGGTATGTGCCTGGGTTGCAGGTTTGAGCCCCAGACTAGTTTGGGGTGCTTGTAGGGTGCAGCCAATTGCTATTTCCCTCTCTCTCTCTCTCTCTCTCTCTCTCTCTCTCTCTCTCTCTTCTCTCTGTCTCTCTCTGTCTTTCTCTTTCTCCCCACTCTCTCCCTTCCACTTCCTAAATATCACTGGAAAAAATACCCTTGGGTGAGGATTAACAAAAATAAATAAGAATACCAACATCTTATAGGCACCTTTATGACTAGTCTTTAAATAATTTTCAATAATAGTTTACCATTTGCATGATTACATATATATGTGTGTGTGTGTATGTCTGAATTACATACACTTTTCTGCAGAAAGCATGATACTGCCAATCTCTTTAGCATTTATGTATCTCTTTGCTAGGACATTTTCCCACACGGTCACAGTCCTCTTTATTATACCCAAGACATTTTACATTGAGCAAAAAGTATCACAGAGTATCACCATGCAAATTGTCTCTGTTGTCCCCAAATGGCCTTTATAGTTGTCTCTTAAATCCAGGACCAATTCAAGATTCATGCCTCATGTTTGGATCTCATGTCTCTTCGCTTCTTGAATCTAGGGCCCTCTGACTCCCCCCCCCCCCCCCTCCCTTGTCTTTGAAAACACGTTTTTGAGGAGCCTAGGACACTTGAATTGTAAAACATCCTGTTTTCTGGGGAATTGTCTTCTTGTTTTCCATGAATAGATTTGGGTTAAACTCTACGGGACATGTTATTTCTTTCCCACTATCATCTCAGAAGGCAGGTGGTGTCTGTTTTTCCATTGTTGGTGATGCCATGTTTGAGCCCTTGTTTAAGGGGTGTCTGCCAGACCTACTGGTTGTAAGGGACCTTTTTCATTGTATAAAAAGCAATCTGTAGGATAATGCTTGGGGACCACGTGACATTCTTCATTTTCTTTTAAAACAATACATATTTATTATAGAGAAATTAGGAATACAGATAATCAAAAGAGAAAAATAAAATCACTCTTAATCCTACCAGCCAGACATAACCGTATTTAATGTTATGTGAACCACATAGAGAAATGGAAATACTTTTTCTTTTTTTCTTTTTTTTTGGGGGAAGGGTGAGTTATTTTTATTTTTTTTCCAAGACCACGTGATACTCATTTCCCAAAAGCCCTTATTTTACTCTGGTTTTAGCACCCAATAATAATTCTTTCCTGAGAAAGTAGGATATGTGGCCTGTTGAGGAAACAGCATGGAGGCCATTGGGGGTGGGGTAGAGTGAGCAAAAGAGGGACTGGTGGAAGATGAGGCCACAGGTGGCACGAGGCAGGTCATGAAGGGCCTTATAATAGGCCATCTTTAGGATCTCGGCTTTTATTGAATGTGGAGAGAGACCATGGGACCGAGCCACCATTGTGACATCTAGACCACTGCAGCTATTTTTCTTTCATCTTGCTTCCAGCATGTCATTCTTCTGCTTTAAATCATCATTGCTCTTAGGATAAAATCCACGCATGACCTAAAAGCTTCTGTCTGATCTCAGGTCATCTTCCCAGGTCATCTCATGCCGCTCTCAGCTACCACCTTCTCTGCTTTAGTCTTCAGACATTTCTGTACGCCCCCTACTGGGGATTGAACCCACAACCTGGGCATGAGTCCTGACTGGGAATCGAACCGGCAACCTTTCATTGTATGGGACAACACCCAACCAACTTAGCCACACCAGCCAGCCATATATTCCTCCCAGTTTTTCATTTTGAAACCTTGTAAGCATAAAGAAAAGTTGAAAAATAATATAACAAACATTCGTATAATGTTCACTTATACTTATCAGTTGTTGATATTTTGCTGCAGTTGCTTTAATCAGGCTTCATTTTGTGCGTCATCTCTTAGAGATCCCTTTCCCGATTGAACTCTCCTTGCCCTTCCGTTCTCTGGCGTTAACTTCCCTATCGTACTTAAGAGAGTTGACTGTTACTTATCTGTTTACCTGTTTATTTGCTGTCTCTCCCACGGGACTGTAGGCTCCACTTACACAAAGGTTATCTCCTACCCTTGCCCCCAATATTATATATCCCAGCTTAGTAGACTGAACCACATTTCCAGCACACGTTAAATATTTACTGACTGATGTATATATGTTGTACCTCGGTTCTTTTAAGATGGACACTTCAACCCTGAGGTGGTCAAGTATCGGCAGCTCTGCTTCAAGTCGCAGTACAAGCGGTACCTCAACTCCCAGCAGCAGTATTTCCACCGGCTGCTGAAGCAGATTCTGGCTTCCCGGAACGTAAGTGATGTCAGGAAGCGGATGTGCAACGAGCAGTGAATGCACCAGTTTCATGACCTCAAGAAGTGGCTCAGGTGTAAAATACGAAAGATACTACTAAAAGAAAAAAAAAAAGCTACCCATTAAGCTATAATACAATTAAACTATATTATTCTTTCTTTAAAAAAATATTTTTTAATTGATTTTTTTTTTTTACAGAGGAAGGGAGAGGGACAGAGAGCTAGAAACATTGATGAGAGAGAAACATTGACCAGCTGCCTCTTGCACACCCCCTATTGGGGATGTGCCTGCAACCAAGGTACATGCCCTTGGCCAGAATCGAACCTGGGACCCTTCAGTCCTCAGACCAACGCTCTATCCACTGAGCCAAACCGGTTCCAGCTATTCTTTCTTACGTTGAATTTTAAGAAGTACCCTGATCTCAGAAATGTTAAAGCGGGGGAAAAGATACCTCTTAAAATGGGTGAAATATTGTAGCTTTATTTACCAGGATAAATAAACAGCTCTCTGCTCCATCATGGCTTGTGCAGGGGACCAGGCTGCTCTAGGGGAGGAGTGGGGGCTACTCGGGCCCCTGAGAGCCGCGGGGGGTATGCAGAGCGCCAGCCTTAGTGGGCCTGGGGCTGGACCAGTCTGCTAATTCTTTGAGACAGAGTTCTGGCTTTCAGTGGTTTAAGCTTCAGTAAGGAAATATTTGTGTCTCTAGTGTAATGAGCATTCGCCATGTAATAATCAAAATAGACTGTTTTTATTTGGCATCATCACATACACATCTTTTTAAAAAAATATATATTTTATTGATTTTTTACAGAGAGGAAGGGAGAGAGATTGAGAGCTAGAAACATCAATGAGAGAGAAACATTGACCATCTGCCTCCTGCACACTCCCCATTGGGGATGTGCCCTCAACCAAGGTACATGCCCTTGACCGGAATCGAACCTGGGACCTTTCAGTCTGCAGGCTGATGCTCTAGCCACTGAGCCAAACCGGTTTCGGCAACATACACATCTTTTTTGTAATCTGGAAAGAAGGAGTGGAGCTTTTTAGACAACGAAGCGAAGAGAATGTAGACTTAGAGAAGGTACCAGAACAAGCTTCCGAGCTGACGTTCTCCCGTCTGGCCTTCCTAGGACCTCCTGGAAATGGCCCGTCGGAGCGGCCCGGCCCTTTCCTGGCGGCAGAAGCGCCCTTCCCCGTCCCGCACCCCCGAGGAGCGGGAGTGGCGCACGCAGCAGCGCTACCTGAAGGTCCTGCGGGAGGTGAAGGAGGAGTGCGGTGACACGGCCCTGTCGTCCGATGAGGAGGGTGAGTGTCCCGGGCCCTGGGAGTGGCTGAGGAGCTTGCTGTGTGGTTGGAGCCAGTGTAGCCATTGATCCCCCCAGCAAAGAAGCTGTCCCGTAGTCTGGGGGGGAGGAGGGGTGGACATGAGTCTTACCTGTGATGGGTACTCGACACTGGTGTAGGTGAGCTGGGCCCTGGTGGCAGGGCTCTCCGCGGCGGGCCTGTCTGGTCCCCATGTGCCCCTTGAGAGAACTGCTTTTCCCCCCACAGGAGAGTAGTAGTGACTGGTGGCCTGCCGCAATGCGACCCATCCCTGGTGAAGTCTCTTCCCGGAAGAGCCGTTTAAATGGCCTCAGTGCTCCAGCTCGCCTGGGGAAGGGTCGGAAAGGAATGGTGGAACCCTGGCCTCCCTGTTGTTGGCTTGCCCTTGTTGCACCCAAATGGCCACTTACCCAATCTCCCTGTTGGAGTCCACAGCCACGTGGGATTCACAAGAAACATTTTCTTTTGAAGATCTCAGCTCATGGCTCCCGAGCTCCCCAGCGCGCTCTCCCAGCCCCGCGGTGCCCCTGAGGGTGGTGCCCACGCTTTGCACCACAGACATGAAAACTGCAGGTGAGGACTGAGCGGCTGCGGCTGGCATTCTGGGAAATGTGCAGGGAGATTTGAGGACTCCTTTGGAGGGAGGTGGGGCCAGATTCTTACCTGCCAGTGTTCCTTGGAATTGGAGATGTTTGGGCACAATTCCACTTTTTAAAAAAAATATATATATATTTTATTGATTTTTTTACAGAGAGGAAGAGAGAGGGATAGAGTTAGAAACACCGATGAGAGAGAACCATCCATCGGCTGCCTCTTGCACACTCCCTACCGGGGATGTGCCCGCAACCAAGGTACATGCCCTTGACGGGAATCGAACCTGGGACCTTTCAGTCCGTAGGCCAGCGCTCTGTCACTGAGCCAAACTGGTTTCGGCTAATTCCACTTTTTTACAAGCAGGTAGGCCTGCCTCCCTTTGAAATTTTTTCTTAGGAGCTGATCAGCTGGTATTTTGCGCTGAAGCAGAATCTTAAAACAAAATAGCAGCACTAAGGGACATTTCAATAATAGAACAAAGGGGTAACCAGGGCCATGGCAATTTGTCAGAACACCTGTGAAGTTAGGGAAGGATTTATTTTTAATATATTTTTATTGATTTGAGAAAGAGAGGAAAGGTGGAGGGTGGGGTGGGGAGAGAGACATCAGTGTGAGAGAGAAACACTGGTTGGTTGCTGCCTGCATGCACCCTCACCAGGGATCGAGCCTGCCACCTGGTATTTGCCCTGACCGGAATTGAACCGGTGACCTTTAGGTGCACAGGATGACACTCAACCACTGATCCACACCGGCCAGGGCAGAGAAGAATTTTTAATTGGGATAGCAATCAGAAGAATGTTAAGAACCTGGAATGTGTTTTAGGAGCAGCTAAGTAAATGAGGTCATGGTTATTGACCAATGCATCGTAAAACTGCAGAGATGACCCCATGACTGTTTCAAGACTGATGGTACTTACTGTACACAGCCCTCAGAAGGGAAGCTCAGAGACATACCTTCGTTTTGAATGTCACAGGTGACCAGAAAGATTTAGATTTCAGCTTCACGTTGTGAATGACTTAGTGCATGTGGTTTGGTTCATTCCCTCTCAGATAAGATAGAGCTGGCGGACAGTGACCTGAAGATAATGCTGAAGAAGCACCATGAGAAGCGGAAACATCAGCCGGTAAGAGTGGGGCCGGGCGTGCTCGTTAGCGGTTTTCAGTGTCCAGTCTCTGGATTGGCTATTGTGAGGAGCACACGGGTAGACGCTACCTTGTTTCTGCTTCCTTTCCTTATCATTAGAGGGCAGGACACCTGTAGACGGTAGTTAACACGAAAGGTGTAAGAAGACACGTGCTTTGACCTTATATTTAGTTATTTACTTATTTATATTTTTATTGATTTCAGAGAGGAAGGGAGAGGGGGAGAGAGAAACATCAGTGATGAGAGAGAATCACTGACGGGCTATTTCCTGCATGCTCCCCATTGCAGATTGAGCCTGCAACCCGAGCATGTGCCCTTGCCTGAAATCAGACCTGGGACCCTTCAGTTAGCAGGCCAATGCTCTATCCACTGAGCCAAACCAGCTAGAGCCATGCTTTGACTTTATATAAGGCACTCTGAAAATAGTGTCTGGTTTAATCTTTGCTTAAGACTGCTGGTGAATCGTACCCATTTTAACAGAGCTCAGAGGGTTGGGAGCTTGCTCTTGGCCCTACAGCTAGTCGGTGGCAGCCAAGGTCAGATCCTGTGTGTGCTCTTGCCCGCTCTTCTCTGTTTCTAAGCTCCACCTAATCAAGGTGATTCCAGCGCAGCCACGTCAGAGAGCACAGTAGGGAGAGAAGGCAGTTCGCCTAAGGCAGGTGGCGAGATGGGGAGACTCCCACAGTGGAAGTCAGAACCGACTGTGTTCCCCACCTGCTCTGTGGTATTGGGCAAGTCCCGTTTTCAGACTGTAAAAATGGGTGGGGAATGTCCGGCTCTCAGGCCGAATAAGGTTGCAAAGTCATTTGGTCTGGCCCTGCCAAGGCATTAGGGGTGAATTAATTAAACGTTGGACCAAATAAAGCAGGCTAATTTTTAAGTTGATAATTTTGTATGGCCCACGAATGAGGTTATACATGTCCAAAAGACCCCTGGCCGAAAAAAGTGACCCCACCCCTCCTGTAAAACATGATCGTTAACAAGGCTATTTGAAGATCATGCAAAGTGAGAAATGTGAAAGAGCTTTATAAATGTCATACAGTAGAAAGGTTGGCACTGGGTTCTCCTCTGCCTCGTTATGAAGAGCAGTTTTTATGTTTATAATTTTTATTCAGCATGATTTTCTTAAGTTGCACGTAACATCTATTCATCTGTTGGGTAAATTGGCAAAACGCCCAGCAGTTTGGGCTCCATATTTGGCCTCCATAACAAATCTCTGGTGTCACATCTAGGATCACCCGGACCTTTTGACGGGGGACCTGACTCTCAATGACATCATGACTCGCGTCAATGCTGGCAGGAAAGGCTCTCTAGCAGGTAAATGACGCACTCGGTGGGCAGCCATCGTCTGGTGCTAAATTCCGGGAACCTATGTACATGTTAGAAGACAGAGAAATACAGCTTGCTTCTAGCGGATAACGTTTCTTTAGTTATTCCCTCTAGTGGGTGGATAGGTGGAACGTGAATCTAGAATCAGAACAGCAGATCATTGATGCCTGAATAACTGTTAAAATTAATTTGTAAATCACTCTTTGGGGTTGGTAGACAAACCTAAATGTCTTGTTTTTGAGACTCTTTTTTTTTTTTTTACCGGTGGGCCTGAGAAAATCAGATGAGGCTCCCACACTCCAGGACGTAGAAAATGCAGTTGTGTGATTTGTGTTGCTTTTTCTTCGCAGCCCTGTATGACTTGGCTGTCCTTAAAAAAAAGGTTAAGGAGAAAGAGGAGAGGAAGAAGAAGAAAATAAAAGTGATCAAATCAGAAGCAGAGGACTTGGCCGAGCCCTTGAGCGGGACGGAAGGGCTCCCGCCTCTCTCACAGGCTCCGTCTCCGCTGGCAGCGCCTGCCATCAAGGAGGAGTAAGTGAGCCGCAGAGCTGACCGCGCGGGGTGGAGGATGGGCGAAGGGTGACCCAGGACTGGTGCTTGGGGGGGCCTGGTGACCTGACTCTCTCAGTGACATCATGACTCGAGTCAACGTTGAACCATAAGCCCAGCGTCCCGGGGTTCTACCCGGGCAAGTACATAGTGTGGCCCTTTAGTGAACTCTTGTGATAGACAGAAGGCTTGGAGGGCTTACACCAGCCAGGGATGTGTTCTTGGTCCTTTTCGTTCTTACGTTTTTCCTCCTCCATCAGGCCTCTGGAAGACCTCAAGCCTTGCCTGGGAATCAATGAGATATCTTCCAGCTTCTTCTCTCTCCTCCTCGAGATCTTGCTGCTGGAGGGGCAGTCTAGCCTTCCTGTGGTAAGAGTTGTGGGAAAGTCAGACGCATATCTGAAGTTTTCAAACGGTAGAAAACCTTAATGTTCTGTAGCAAGGGTGGGGAACCTTTATTTATTTTTTATTTTTTTGCCAAGTGCCATTTGGATATTTATAGCCTACGAAATTATCAACTTAGAAAGCACCCTGCGATATTTGGTCTAACATTTAATTAACTCACCCCTGAGGCTGTGGCAGGGCCAGACCTAATGACTTCTCGGGCCTTAGACAGCCCGTGGGCTGGACGTTCCCCACCCCGGTCTGCAGCTCCAGAACTCTGGGTCGCTCCCGGAGCCCTTCGGCCGACTTGCTGTGGGCAGGCTGGACAGATCCACCAGCTTGCTGTGGCCCTCGTGGGATTGCTGGGCCCTGACTGTTCCGCCTTTGCTTTCCTGCAGCTGGAGGAGCGTGTTCTGGATTGGCAGTCCTCTCCGGCCAGCTCCCTCAATAGCTGGTTCTCTGCAGCCCCCAACTGGGCGGAGCTGGTGCTACCAGCCTTGCAGTATCTTGCTGGAGAAAGCCGAGGTAAGGTACTTTTTTCTGGAGGGTCAGTGTCTCTCTCCCCCCACCTAGAGCCTCTTCTTCCCCCCTCTTCCCCCCACACACTGTTCTAATTCTCATAGTGAACTGCAGCTTTACTGGCTGAAACCATCATGGCTTTGCACAGTGCCAGCCTTGGAGGCCTGATACTGTGAAACATTCAGACGCTCTCAGCTCAGGGACGGCCATTGTTGTTCTGCGTTGAGCACTCTGACCTGTGTGGCTTGTTCATGGAATCCATTTCTTGCAGCCGTGCCTTCCAGTTTCTCCCCATTTGTTGAATTCAAGGAGAAGACCCAGCAATGGAAATTGCTTGGTAAGTAATTCGTATTACCCACCCGTGACACCAGGTCTTCGTTCTCTCATTTCCTCCCCTCAGCTTCCTTTGCCTTCCAGTCAGCAAAGGCAGTGTTAAATCTCAGGCTGTTCCGCAAATCGCTCCTTCGGGATCCCTTTTGTACTCGGGGTCCGAACTTCACCCCCTCCATCCCCTCCAGTGGATTTGGGCTCACCGGGGCTGGGGTGGACTAGCCCTTCCATTATGATGCACTCCGGTGCTGGCTAAATTTAAATGCGTTTATATTAATTGTACTTAAGGTTTTAGGTCAATTTGTAATAATGTAGTTATTTTTCTTTCCTAAAAATGGGACTTGCTGTGGAGGATAATGTGCAGCAAGATGCCAGGCAGCTCTGAATAAGCTGCTTTAAGGCCTGGGGCCCTTTTGTTTTAAGTTAATATTAAGTTCCGCTTACTGTGTGGTTACCCAGTGATGGGGATGAGGAAAATCAGTGTTGATTTCACGTTGGAATTCATGAACCTTTCTCTTTACACTCTTGCACAGTCTATGAGGATATATTTGGGGAGATGCAGTAGATCCATCCGTTACAACATTTGTTCAGCTTTTAGGCATATCGGTGATGGTTAGGAGGAGGCCGGCAGATGACAGGGAGGGCATTCCGGGTGGAGGAGGCAGTGGCTCCGTGGTGCCAGGGAAGATTCGGTTCAGAACGGTCACACAGCCTGTGCAGAGATGAAGATAGTTGGATCTAAAATTTAAGAAGGTTTTAGGCGGAGAAGCCTCAGGGCTTGGTATGACTTGGACATGGGAGAGAAAGTAGAGTGTGGCAACACCCCTTTGCTAGGTTTGAGTTTCATGGCTGAAAGTGGTGTTTATGGAGGCGGGAGGCTATGGAAGACACCCGGACATGGGTGAGGGCGAAGGTCATGAGTTTAGTTTGGGATGTGCCGAGTTTGAGCTGCCTTTGAGGCATCGAAGTGAAGGAACTGAATAGACAGTGGTACATATGGGATTAGAACCCAGCTCGGAATCGAGGTAGAGAGCTGTTGGCATATTGGTATATATAGCATTTGAAGTCAAAGGCATAGGGGGGAGGTGGTAAACGAGGAGAGAAAAAAGGGCCAAGGACTAAGCCTGGAGAGGAGGTGGAGAGAGAGGAGGTAGAGTGGGAGCATGTGGAGAGGAAGCGACTACAAGAGATAGCTGACTCTTGGAAGCCAAGCAATGAGAGTTAAGAATTGGGGAGTGGTTATTAGCCTTGATTGTTACTAAAAGGTTCAGTAGATAAAGGCTGTGAACTTGTGGACACAGAAGAAGTGAAGAATTTCTTGTGTGATTTTTTAAACATTTTTAAAAAGTAGATTTTATTGATTTTTTACAGAGAGGAAGGGAGAGGGATAGAGAGTTAGAAACATCGATCACCTGCCTCCTGCACACTCCCTACTGGGCATGTGCCTACAACCAAGTAAATGCCCTTGACTGGAATCGAACCTGGGACCCTTGAGCCCGCAGGCTGACGCTCTAGCCATTGAGCCAAACGGGTTAGGGCTCGTAAGAGCGATTCTTATCAGAATGACCTGAGTTCAGGACCGGGGTGAGGGAAGGCGCCTCATGCTGTCAGACGGCCCTTGAAGTCTGCAGAGATGGGACACTTGTGCCAGCGTGGCACACGTTGTAGGCCAGATAATAGGTATTGTGAGTGTGTGGGCCAGATGCTCTCTGTTGCAAAGGCCAGTGCTACAGGTCCTGACGGGTTCTCTCTCTCTCTCTCTCTTTCTCACAGATACAGCACGCAAGGAGAAAGTGAGATCCTAAGGAACGCCCCAGTTGGTTTCATTATTTTTTCCCTTTTGATTCTTCTAACAGGCCAGTCCCAAGACAACGAGAAGGAGTTAGCTGCGCTCTTCCAGCTGTGGCTCGAAACCAAAGACCAGGCCCTCTGCAAGGTAAGCTTTCCACGGAAATGTCAGCCTTCCTGACGGTGCCCAGGGCCCCAAGTCCGCCAGAATCCTGTAGTCCACGTACCTGTTCATGTTTTCCTTTCCCGCAGCAAGAAAACGAGGACAGCTCAGACGCCACCACGCCTGTTCCTCGGGTGTGAGTATAACTCTGACAGCGGGGTTATTATACTTTAAATACAGAAAAGAAAATGCATAGAGTTGAAACCTGGTTTGTCCTTCTGCCATGGCTTTTGTGACATTCCTTAGCGTGTTAGAGTTGTCGTGGGCTTGAGAGATCCTGGGGGCCCAGGGATTCTCACCTGCCTCAGCCCACCTGAGGGCACCACCCCGTCATTCAGAGAGGCTTCCTGAGGAGAGGATGCTGGATTGGGGAGAGGATGCACAGCAGGGTTTCTGAGGTGGATGTGATCTGCCTTGTAGGTGGGCATGCTTCCCCCCCTCACCCCCCCCGAATTACTCTCCTTCAGTTCCCATTTGAGTGTGATTCATCCAATCCATCTTCCTCACTTCACCTAAAAAGAAATTGAGGCACATGGCTAAGTGACTGGCCGGAGGTTAGGGACAGGACCAAGGCTGGAATTTAGGCCTCTTGGCCTCTAGCCCTGAGCCTTCATATCTCAGCATCTCATGTGACCTTTCTCTGTCTGATATGGTCCTCTCTTCTTAGCCCAGGTTTGTGAGATGCCAGTGACATATGATACTGTGTTGACTTGATATATGTATAGAACACATCCATCGGCTCACAGAATTACCAGTTTGTGTATATGTTTGTGTGTGGTATGGTCTCTCTCAGCAACTTTCAAGTGTGTAAATCAGAGTTATGAACTGTAGTCGCCGTGCTATACGCTAGATCCCCAGACCTTACTCTTCTTACGGCTAGAAGTTTGTCCCTTTAACCAGCATTTCCCCGTTTCCCCATCTCCCAGCCCCCGGTAACCACCATTCTACTCCCCGCTTCTTTCTGTGAGTTTGGCTTTTGTTAGATTGCCCACATTCTTTCTGTTCCAGAAGAACTGACTATGTGGTGCGGCCCAGCACCGGGGAGGAGAAACGAGTGTTTCAGGAGCAGGTAAGACGGCCCGGCCAGAGGGGATCTCTGCGCTCTTGAGGCCGTGTGGCGAGGCCCTCCCCGATCCCATGTTCGGGAGGAAATTCACATCTTTCTCCGTAGATTCCTGCTTGGGCGGGGGGTGGGGGGGGGATTTTGCTTGTTAGGGGCAGAAATGGTGTCTTAATGACCTTTGCTAGTGAGGAGGGCTTTGGGGAGCATCCCTTTCCCACTGGAGCATCCCATTTCCCTCCAGTAGTCCTAGTGGAGTAGCCTCTTTCCTTCTCGTTTTACTCTCTCCTGATTGAGTGGGAGTGAACCCCACTGATCCTGACTTAGAAGCTTGGCTTTCTCCTCTTGATAGGAGCGTTACCGGTACAGCCAGCCCCACAAGGCGTTCACCTTCCGGATGCACGGCTTCGAGTCGGTGGTAGGGCCCGTGAAGGGCGTGTTTGATAAGGAGACCTCCCTCAACAAGGCTCGGGAGCACTCCCTGCTGCGCTCGGACCGGCCCGCCTACGTCACCATCCTCTCTCTGGGTAGGTAGGCCGCTTGCTTCTTCAGGCAGCTGCACCTCACCCCCCACCCCCACCCCCACCCCACACACGAGAGCTTTGGTATTTGGGAAGGAGCGTCCTGCCCCCAGAGGCTTATCGTGAATCTGTGTTTCTTTCCTGAAGTCTGTGCTCCAGTTTATTCAGGAATTCATTGTTTCCAGGCCAGCTAAATAGCGAGCTCAAGTGTAGGAGTTTGCTGCCTCCAGACTGTGTTTCCTTTCAAGATGAGGTTTTTAACCTCTCTTTTGTGTGTGTCATGAATCTTTGGCTCTGGTGAAACAAACCTATGGACCCTCCTCAGAATTATACTTTAAATGCAGAAACCAAAATGCGTAGAGTTACAAGAGAAGCTAATCATATTGAAATAGTTATTAAAATATTAAAACAAATTTCTCGTGCAGAAATATGTGTATCTTTATTATGATATTAAATGATAAGATCTAGCAGTCGGTCTTAACACCTTCTGTAATTTCCAAATAGTGATGCATGGAAATGGTATTTGGAGTCGGTCTGCAGCAGCTGTAACGTGGTATGAACATATCTAAGTCTGTTACAGCATCACAGCACTGCCAGTGCATGGTGTATGGTTTGTTACCTCTGTGTAGTCCTAGATGTCATGCTCAGTCTTGGCTGAGTGTAAAGAGTGTACACATAGGGAACGGCCCCTAGAGGGCAGTGTCCACCCAATGCAGAGTGAGGAAGACACCTCAGGGCATGCCACCCGCCAGAGCAAGGAGGGAAGGACGTCCCCAGCAGTAGCTCTGCTTGATTCTTGGACTTTCCATTTTCCGGCGCCATCAGTTCGAGATGCCGCAGCTCGGCTTCCCAACGGCGAGGGCACGCGGGCAGAGATCTGCGAATTGCTCAAGGACTCCCAGTTCCTCGCACCAGATGTCACCAGCACTCAGGTAGGATGGAGAAGAGATTCTTTTTGTTTTGTTTTGTTCCCGAAATGCAGTAAGGAAAACAACGAGGATAGAAAATATAGTAACATAAACAAATTTAAAAAAAGACTGAAGAAGAGGAGAGCAGGGTGTCATGTGAACAGTGTTAACCTAAGATTCGACTCAGCTGCTCCACCTTCCCCAGGTCTTAGGACCTCATCCCCTTTGTTCTGGCTGCTAGGTGAACACGGTGGTGAGCGGGGCCCTGGACCGGCTGCATTATGAGAAGGACCCCTGCGTGAAGTACGACATCGGGCGCAAGCTGTGGATCTACCTGCACCGTGACAGGAGCGAGGAAGAGTTCGGTGAGTGAGGCTCGGGCAGGGTGTCCAGCTAGACTAGGGACGCTCTGACTTTCTGCCCCAGTTCCATGATGCTTCTCACTGGCACGTGGGCAGGACAGGACCCTAGAGCAGGACTTGGCCCTCCAACGAGGCCCTGGCTTTTTTAATTTTTTTTTAATTTTAATATATTTTATTGATTTTTTTTACAGAGAGGAAGAGAGAGAAGAGAGAGGAACAGAGAATTAGAAACATCGATGAGAGAGAATCATCCATGAGCTGCCTCTTGAACACCCCCTACTGGGGATGTGCCCGCAACCAAGGTACATGCCCTTGACCGGAATCGAACCTGGGACCTCTCAGTCCGCAGGCCGATGCTCTATCCACTGAGCCAAACCGGTTTCGGCGAGGCCCTGGCTCTGGATGGAAGCACCCTTCTCACTGTGCTGAGGCTAAACAGCCGCTGACGCTTTTCCCTCTCGTTCACAGAGCGGATTCACCAAGCGCAAGCGGCGGCAGCGAAAGCCAGGAAAGCCCTTCAGCAGAAACCCAAGCCCTCAGCTAAGGTGGTGAGTGACCAGCTGAGGGCCTGCCGCAGTGGTTCCAGGGCGGGTGGCGAGGCTCAGAGCACCGGGAACTAGGGCGGAGCCTGCCTCCCTGTCCCTGTGTTAAATCTGCGCGTGGATCTCTCTCTCTCCTGCCCAGAAGTCCAGCAGCAAGGAGAGTTCACTGAAGGTCCTCAGCAGCGGCCCTTCTGAGCAGAGCCAGATGAGCCTCAGCGACTCCAGCATGCCGCCCACCCCCGTCACCCCCGTGACGCCCACCACGCCAGCTCTGCCCGCCACCCCCATCTCCCCTCCACCCGTGTCGGCAGTCAGCAAGAGTGGTCCTACCACTGTGCCAGAGCCGGCGAAATCCAGCTCCAGGTAAGCTCTCCTGTCTCCTCCCGCCCTGTCCCTCCACATCCTCTTGGCGCGTCCTAAGCTGGTTGTGTCTGTCTCCCCTTTTCTCCCTCCCAGTGTCCTTCTGGTCTCCTCGCCAACGATGCCACAGCTGGGAACCATGCTCTCCCCAGCCGCCAGCCAGACGCCGCCGAGCTCTCAGGCCGCTGCCCGTGTCGTGAGCCACTCCAGCTCGGCGGGCCTCCCCCAGGTACGGGTGGTGGCCCAGCCTGGCCTTCCTGCTGTCACCCAGCAGTCAGCGGGGCCAGCACAGACACTGCCGCCGATCCCAGCAGGCCCACAGATCCGCGTGCCAGCCACCGCTACACAGACCAAGGTCGTGCCCCAGGTAAGCGGGGACCACAGACCCAGAGCTGGGCACTGAGTCCCGTGGGCAGGATGGGTAAGCTGCTGCTGCTGTGTATGCCAGCTCAGTCACTGTCCACAGCTGGGAGTGCTTGGACAAGCTGTGCTTCAATGTAAATTGTACTTGACACTTTGAGGATCAGAACTTCTGAGAAGTTGGTTGGTTTACTCAGGATGGTATCGTTAGGCCCCTCGTAGAGCTGGGGTTAAATCCAGGCCTGCGATTCGAAATCTGGGACTCCTCCCCCCGTGCCACTAGCTAGTTGTGTGATTCTAGAGCAAAGCCTTATCTTGGCCTCAGTCTCCTCTGCTACAAAATGGGCATGATTTCTGTCCTCGGTGTAGGATGAGGTGTTAAGTGTGGAGGCAGACTGAAAGTTAAAGACGCTGCACCAAGCAAGAAGGTCACAGTGTCGCTGTAGGGAGCAGGGAGCGTGAGCACTGCTCCGTGAGAAGCACCTCCGGAGGCACACTTGGGGGGTGGGTGGCGGCCTGGGCTGCCTCGTCGTCTCTAATCAAGCTCTTGGCCCCATGCTCTGAACCAGACAGTCATGGCCACCGTCCCAGTCAAAACTCAGACCGCGGCGGCCACTGTGCAGCGGCCGGGAGCCGGGCAGACGGGACTCACGGTGACCAGTCTCCCTGCCACCGCCAGCCCTGCGAGCAAGCCAGCCACCAGCTCTCCTGGCAGCTCTGCCCCGAGCGCGTCCACAGCCACCGTCATTCAGAATGTGAGCGGGCAGAACATCATCAAGCAGGTAGGTGGGGGCGCCCTCCGGCCCGAGCAGAGGACAGTGCCGAGCTCGGTGACTCGTGATCGTGACCCTAAGTTCACAGGTATTTCCAGTTCCGTTCCCGCCAAGGGCAGTGCCAGCTCTGCGGGTGCTCAGAGATTTCTTTGCTCCTCTCCCTGTAATTCAGCATTTGGTAGCTGAGTTTGGAGGAGCCTCTCCATGAATTGATTGTGTTAAGATCCTGGGATATGTCTTCACATGCTTTATCAGCATTTCAGTTTATTACTAGTAAAAAGCATATATTTGTGCTTTCGTGGTTGTGCATAATGAGAATTGGGCAAAATGCAACTAGTGCCTGCACCGTGCCAAGCATATTATATTCATTAAATAATTTAATACTCAGAACAACGTGGGGCAGGCACTTAGCCCATTTTATAGCTTAAATGGAACCACATAACGATGAAGGAACATTGTTCTTCATTAAATATTTATTAGTGTTTTTTGTGTGCTGGGCGCTGTCTGGAGCGTTGGGGGGTTAGCGGTGTGTTGCACAAAGTCCCTCCCTCGTGGAGCCGGCTCTCCCATGGAGCTGGGAGACGGTGCCCCCCGGGGCAGGTGTGGGAGGTGAGAGCAGCAGTAGGAGGGGAGGGAGAGCGCATGTGCTGTGAGCTGGGGCGATCGGAGGCCTGGAGGAGCTGGCGTTTGAAAGGAGCGAGGCGGATAGTATGCTGTGTTACAGACAGCTGGAGGTGAGCCACGCCAGGAATGGGCAGGGCCAGTGCAGCCGTCTTGAGTCAGGAACCTGTTTGAGGACCAGCAGGAAGCCCGTGTGGCTGAGGCCTCGTGAGCAAGTGCAGAAGTGTTGGAAAATGGCTTCTCGAGAGGTTGCTGGTTCAGTTGTGTCGTGCTTTGATTTTAATTCAAAGGTGACGGGGAACCTTTGAGAGATTGTGACTCAGGATGTCCTGACTTGTTTTACATTAAAGAAAGGCCTGGCTGCTCTGATGAATGGTCTTAGGGGGCAAGAGCAGAAGCAGGGAGATCAGGCCGGGGGCCGCTGCATTGGTCCCCATGAGGGGTAACACTGGCCTCCTGTGAACGGTCATCGCAGGGGGAGAAGGGCTGGGTTCTGAATGGAGGGTTCAACGTAGAGTCAGTGTGATTTCCTGGTGGCTTGTGGGGTCTGGGAGAAGGGAGTCCGTGGGTTTTGGCCAGAGTGTCTGAGCAGATAGGGACGTCATTCTCTGAGATGGAAACCCAGGTGCAAGACGAAGGCAAGAGAGAGGGTGCCTCATAAATGAGCGTGTGCATCAAGCATGTGAGATACCACCTGGGAACTGATACCACCTGGGGGTGGGTCATGCATGAACTTGACTGGGTCCAGTGGCTTGGTGCCTTTTTGGGAATGTGTTCAAGAGGCAAGGAAATGGAGATGTGAAGGTAGAGATTTTTCAGAGTAATTTTTTGCCTTTGCAGCGAGCAGAGGACTGGGCTGCCATGGAGATGCAAGGGGAGCGGAGCTGGGGAGGGGGATGGGGGTGAAGCGAGGGTCTGTGGTCCAGAATGGGAAATGCGTTCCTGGGTGGTGGTGTCCAGCAGAGAGGGGACAATGGCTCATGTGACAGAGCAAGTCCCCGAGGCCAGAAGGGCTGCGCTTACTACACGTGGCGCTTGGCCACGCTGTTCTCTCCACGTGGAGGCTGGCACAACCCTAAGTAGACCTTTTTAGGATGGTAGCGGAAATGTGAATCTGTATTATTAGGTAATAATACTAGGTGTTTTTTTAATTTTTTATTTTAAAAGATCTTTTCTAGGTTGGAGATAGGTACAGAAGTATTGATCAGCAAAGCATTATCTATTAGTTTACTTAAAAATATTTTCACTCCTCGTTCTCTCCCCCCGCCTCCAACTTTTGGAGTTGGGTGTGATAGGTACATGGGTTTGTTACACTGTTCTCTTCTTTTGTGAGTATCATTTTTAAAAACGAAAAGCTAGAGAAATACCTGAGACACAAATGGAGGTTTGCCTAACTGTGCGGTGTAACCAGTGCAGCACCGTGGATCCCTCTGTCAGTGCCGTTTCTCCCCACCAGGTGGCGATCACGGGGCAGCTTGGCGTGAAGCCCCAGACAGGCAACAGCATCCCACTCACCGCCACTAACTTCCGCATCCAGGGCAAGGACGTGTTGCGCCTGCCGCCCTCTTCCATCACCACAGATGCCAAAGGCCAGACGGTCCTGCGGATCACACCGGACATGATGGCCACGTTGGCCAAGTCCCAGGTGACCACAGTCAAACTGACCCAGGACCTCTTCGGGACAGGAGGCGGCACGGCAGGCAAAGGCATCTCTGCTACCTTACACGTCACTTCCAACCCCGTCCACGCCACGGACAGCCCCGCCAAGGCCAGCTCCGCCAGTGCCCCCGCGTCCACTCCAACGGGCACCACCGTGGTCAAAGTGACTCCGGACCTCAAGCCGGCGGAAGGCTCGGGGTCGGCTTTTCGCTTGATGCCCGCACTCGGGGTGAGTGTGGCCGACCAGAAGGGGAAAAGCACAGTGGCCTCGTCGGAAGCAAAGCCAGCCGCCACCATCCGCATCGTGCAGGGCCTGGGCGTGATGCCGCCCAAGGCCGGCCAGACCATCACCGTGGCAGCCCATGCCAAGCCAGGGTCCTCGGTGGCCAGCGGGTCTGGAACTGTTCACACGTCAGCCGTGTCCCTGCCCAGCATGAACGCTGCTGTGTCCAAGACTGTGGCCGTGGCCTCGGGGGCCGCAAGCACCCCCATCAGCATCGGCACGGGAGCCCCCACGGTGCGGCAGGTGCCCGTCAGCACCACGGTGGTTTCCACGTCCCAGGCCGTGAGTACCAGTGGGGCGGGCACAACTAACCCTTCCGCCAGGGACTTCTCCTCTTAGGAACGGAAATGGCTGTACCCCTATTCGACCCCAACTAATTTATGAAAGCAGACACGCATACAGTCGTAGAGAATATTAAAGCCTCCCCGAAGTTCGGGGAGTAAAATACAAAGTTTCTTTCACCCCCTCTCGCTCTCCCATCGTGAGGAGGGTGTTTGGCATTTGTCCTTCTAGTCCTTTCCCAGAGCATCTTCACACATGCAGGCACAGTTAAAAAATCCCGTGAGAGACCTTAGTCTATAGATTGTCCTATGCTTTGTCTTATCTATTTAAAAGGATGTCTTGGGGGTTATGCTAGGGTTATGATTTTATCTGATTGGCCCCTCAGATACTGACTGCAGCCTTCTTTATGACACCAAGGTAGCCCATAGAAGGGATGTGTTGTAATCGCTCTTCTTGTAAAGAGCGCGTTTTCATCGTTACAGCCAGCGCGGCAGCGAATGCGTGGGTGTGCATATGTGAACACGTAGAAGCATTTCCGGAGCCGAGGGGGTAGCCCGGCCACGGAGGTGCACGCGCTGGGAGTGTTGATACTCCACTAGTGCTCCCCGAAAGGACGTAGCAGCTTTCAGTCCAACCAGCAAGACTCCTGGCTTCACCAGGGCCAGTAGCATGCGTTGTTTGGACCGTATGGCTCTTACTCCTGAGAGAGTCCTTTTTCTGTTTGTGTCCCTGGTCTGTAGTGATGTTGAGCATCCAGTCCTGAGCAGACTGCCGCGCTCTCTAGCAGATAAATCATTGCCAGTTTTCTTTGGGGTTTTCTGTTTTTTTCATAATTTGAGTGACTCTTTTTATCTTTGGGTGTTCTGTGTGGAAAGTATTTTCTTCCCATCTGTCATTTAAAAAAATTTTTTTTATTGATTTTTTTAGAGAAAGAGGAAGGGAGAGAGGGAGAGAGAGAGACATCAATGAGAGAAACATCATTGATCAGCTACCTCCTGCTCGCCTCCCTTTTGGGGATTGAGCGGGCAACTGGGCATGTGCCCTGCCTGGGAATTGAACCAGTGACCTCCTGGTTCATGGGTAGACTCTCAACCTCTAAGCCACACTGGCTGGGGTCCCTCTGTCACTTTTTAACCTTGCATATGGGGCCCTTTGCTCTACAGGTATTTTATCTGATTGGCTCTGTATCAACATTTCTTTTATGGTTTCTGGGTTTTATGTCTTTTGCCTTTCTTACCCCAGGGTTATAAAGATATCAGCTTGTATTTTCATAAAACATTTTCAGAGTTTTAAGAGAGGTATAGCCAATAACTCATTTGAAGCATAATTCTGTGAATAGCCTGTGGTTTTTCAAGTTATTCCAACATCACTAATTTACTGCTTCCCATTAACTCCCAAGTGCTGCATTTATCCTAAACCCAATTCTCATGTCAACATAGGCGTGTTTCTGGATGCTTCTGTGACCATTTATCGATAGTTTCTAGATCAGGAGCACTGCTGTGTAGTTGCCCTTTTTTAAATAAGCTATGTAGTAAAACCTCAATAGTTCGGGTAAAAGCCGTAGTGATGGAGGAAGGAAGACATATACATTAGTAAAACCACCAGCCAATAAACCCTGATACTCAGTGTGGCTTAAAAGGAAATGTCTAGGTCCTCAGGTCTCAGAAATCAGAAGAAGGAAACGGCTTACTAGACCCATTTCTGTTTCCCCTGAATCTTTCTCGTAACAGGGAGAGCTCCTGTCAGTGGCATCTCCCCTGTCATAACTGATCGGGATAAAAACCAGGCTGGGGCCGAAACCGGTTTGGCTCAGTGGTAGAGCGTCGGGTCTGCGGACTAAAAGGTCCCAGGTTCGATTCCGGTCAAGGGCATGTACCTTGGTTGCGGGCACATCCCCAGTAGGGGGTGTGCAAGAGGCAGCTGATCGATGATTCTCTCTCATCGATGTTTCTAACTCTCTATCCCTCTCTCTTCCTCTCTGTGAAAAATCAATAAAATATATTTTTAAAAAAACAAAAAACAAACAAAAAAACCAGGCTGGGGCAGAAGGAGGTTTACAGTTGTTTGTATGGAAAAGAATATAGTAACTAATACACAATATACAAGTATGAACTGTTTGGCGTGCTCACAACTGTAAACATACCACTGCCTCACGCTGTGACCAGAGCGCGTCCAGTGGGGTAGGAAGTGTTGCCTCTTGGTCAGCTGTCGGGAGGCTGGCTCGGGAAGGGACATTTCCGGTTGTGTACTGGTGGTCTGAAATGTCCTTAAGAAACTAAGACTTGAAGAAAGGAAAACCACACGTCAGTCCACCATTCTGCTGCCTGTTGGTATTTTTCCATGCTTTCCAGTGGGCTACTCTGAGTGCCCGACTTCAGAACCAGCTGCCCATAGGACATGCCAATGCCCTTTCTTGGTAGCCTAGCAGACCATCCCTCTTAAATAATTAAAAAATATATATTTTTTTATTGATTTCAGCGAGGAAGGAAGAGGGAGAGACAGATAGAAACATCAATGAGGAGAATCATTGGTCAGCTTCCTCCTGCAGGCCCCCATTGGGCAAGCCCACAACCCGGGCACGTGCCCTGACTGGGAATCCAATGTGATCTCCTGGTTCATAGGTCAACGCTCAACCACTGAACCCACGCCAGCCGGGCTTTATCAGCTTTGGGTTGGGCTTTTCACTTGGCTGACTTTGTTGTTGGTGTCCTTCGCTCACCTCCTTATCTCTGGAGGAAGCGGAAGGCACCTGGACAGTGTAGCCATCCCCCTGGGGCACACCCTGCAGTGTTCCAGCAAAGCAGCAGCTGTGCACCTGCTAGTGTGAACTCCTAGCGCACCTGCTGTGTGAACTCCGAGTGCCCCTGTGCCCGCTCCCACTGCTTCCGACAGCTGCTGAGCGCCACGGGTCGGGGGGCGACACAGATGAGTAAGGCTGCCCTCTAGGAGCTCGGAAGGGAACACACATCCTCCTCTGTGGGTTAGGAACACGTTTAATCCTGACGACAGCTGGATTGTCTGCTGCTGTAGGCAGCATGAAAGGATAGCGATCAGGCGGCCCCTTCGTATAGCACAGGAGCCCCGAACCACAGTGTGTGACGGCTGTTTCATGAGGCCTCCCTGGGCTGTACCACAGGAATGAGCACAGGCAGCGAGAGCCTCTGGCGCTGGCCCCTCGGCTCAGCCCCAGAGGGGACACTGGTCTCCTCACCTGTGTCCCATACACTGGCTCCTCCTCCTCTCCAGGGGAAGCTGCCGACGCGGATCACGGTCCCCCTCTCTGTGATCAGCCAGCCTATGAAGGGCAAGAGTGTGGTCACAGCCCCCATCATTAAAGGCAACCTCGGAGCCAAGTAAGTGCCATCGGGAGGGAGGGCAGGGCTTCCGGGGGGCTCCCTATTGCGGGGGGGGGGGGGGAGGGGGACGGCGGGGAGGCAGCTGGTTTCCGGGGGCTCGCCCCAGGTACCTCTCCTTGGTTGTGCTCAACAAGGCGTATTGAGCAGCCAGGATCATTTTAGGTGTGTGGGGGTACAGCAGTGATTAAAAGAGACAAAAGTCCATGCTGGCTTCAAATGGGGAGCGAAATAGTAAAGTGAAATACTCTGTGGACGGTAAGGCGTACTATGAAGAAAAAGCAAGGAAGGGGACAGGCAGTGCCGCCACTGACACGGCTCAGGCAGCAGTTTGGGCTGCGGCTGCTGGGAAGGCCTCACGTCTTTTGAGCTCGGTGGTGTAAGTCAGAGGAGGGCAGCTTGTTGGAGCCTGGGCTTCCTGGCCCTGACTGAAACGGGGCAGGGAGAAAGGATGCGATGGGATCATTCTGATGGTCTCAGGGCAGCAGTGTGGGGCAGGGGATTCTTGGCCAAAGGGCAGGCCTCCCTGGAGCCTGTTCATTACTCCTGCTGATCAAGGTCTGGATCTCAGGGTCATTTTAGCCAAAGCACTGGGGCCTTGGGCTCGCCGTGGGAAGCATAGAAGGTGGAACCAGGTCCCCAGGTTTCCTTCCGTGCCTGGCCCGATTCCGGCGGGAGCTCATGCCCTCTCTTGCTTTCCATCCACAGCCTCGGAGGGTTGGGTCGCAACATCATCCTCACCACCATGCCAGCGGGCACCAAGCTCATTGCCGGCAACAAGCCTGTGAGCTTCCTCACTGCCCAGCAGCTGCAACAGCTCCAGCAGCAGGGCCAGGCCACCCAGGTGAGGCCGGGGCGCGCTGCGGGCCACTCCGGGTTCTCTCCTCTCCTCTGCTGGCCGCTCCCAGCCGATGAGCCTGTCGGCAACAAGCTGCTGACCCGACGTTCCCTTTGCAAACAGGTGCGCATCCAGACCGTCCCCGCGTCCCACCTCCAGCAGGGAACAGCCTCGACTTCCTCCAAAGCGGTCTCCACGGTGGTTGTGACCACAGCTCCGTCTCCTAAGCAGGCACCTGAGCAGCAGTGACTCTGAGAAGCAGCTTTCCGTCAAAGCCCAGGCCTGCTCCGCCCTGCAGGCCGACAGGAAGGGAGCAGGGAGGTCCCTCCTTCCTCTGAGCTCCCGTCTCAGGCCGGCCCGCGGAGGGCTGGCGGCCGCAGGGCTGCCATCTGCTGCCACACACCCCGAGGAGGACACTGAGGAAGGCTCGCTCCAGGTCTGTGGCGTACGGACCCAGGGACTGTGTGAGGTCAGTGGGTCACACAAGCTGAGGAGAGCGGGCTTACGGGGGGAGCGCGGACAGCGACCACGCCGTTCTGTACGTGGCTCGTACCTCTCAGCGTGTGGTCTTCTTCGTGACGAGTGGTCTGGATAGGAGTTTTGTCTCCAGAAATTTTTATGTAACTTATTTTTTTTAAGAGCCTATTGTATATCTTTGTCAAATAGAAACCTGGGCATTAGCCCCCTAAACGGATTCATTCTTTTGGCCAGAATGTGAGAAAGGCAGGATTCTAGTAAGTTGGCTGACTTGGATAACTCCATGGAGAGGCACTAAGATGGGAAAGAAACACAGGAAGTGGGATTGTGTGGATTCTCTGATATGGGACTAGTTGGGCACTGCCTCTTAAGGTGGGGTGTCAGGATCCCGGCTGTGGGCTGTTCTCTCCCTGCTGGCTATCCTCAGCAAGTCTGCTCACACACGCCCGGGCCGGGGGGCACAGCAGGTATGCTGCTCTTGCAGCACATCCGTATTTCATATTTCAGTTCAGAGACTCTGTATTCTGCTTTGCTCCAGAACAAGAGTCAGCGAGCCACCGCCCTTAGGCTGGCTTCCCGTTTTTGTAAATAAAGTTTTATTGGAACACGGCCCAGGCCCACGCGTTTATGTATTGTCTATGGCTGCTTTCAGTTAGAATAGAACTGAATAGATGCCACTTGGCCTTCAAGTCTAAAATACTTTGTGTGTGGTTAAAGTAAAACTTTGCTGACTTTTATTCCAGAGACGGGTGTCCCTACTGGATAGCACCAACTGAAAGGTGAGTGTAGGTATACACGTTATTTAATCCTGGCTGTTTCCTAGTTCTCTGCCCCACCAAGCTACAGGCAGAGAGCGGGGCATGAAGCTTCAGTGAAAGCACTGGTTGGTAAGGATATATGCCTCTTCTGTGTCAGAGCAAAGCTTTTCTGCAGGGCCAGAGTTTCCCTGACTCCTGAAAGGACACAGATGACTAAAAAGGTATTTTAATCTGTTGAAGTCTAGCGCTGATACTCTACGGAGTCTGCGTGCTGAAGTGGATCGGAGGGAGTGGGAGTGGCCTGCTTCAGAGGGTGGGAGTGGAGGGATCGGGCAAGTTGTTGAGGGGCAGACGCCTTTCGATGGCTTGGTGGTTGTAGGGATATCTCATTGGATTCCTAAGGAAGTTCTGTGAACCAGTTACCCTGTTTTAACTGGGAGAAAATCCGCATTTCAGCTGGAGTTAAAGAGAACCAAGATGTAAGTCCAGTCTTTGGATTCTAAGTCAGGTGCCCTTTCTGCCGCCTTCCTAAGAAGGGAGTGGCCGTGATGTGGTGAGACTTGGGGACGATCCAGAGCTGAGGGTGGTAAGTCTGGATGACAGAGAACAGGTGAACCGGCCGAGGCGGGATTGAGCTCGGGAGGGGAGTGGAGAGCTGGACAGGAATGGATGGGAAATGGCCAGAGGTGGGACTGCAGTGAGGAGACACTGTTCCTCCCAGCTAAAGGCGGCTGCACCTGCTATTTCATAATACTCTGGTATTTGCATGGCATTGCTCCCTGGAGTCACATTGCACATGGAAGGTTCATGTGACAGGCTCCGAGTGAGAAACAGGTAGAAATTTGAGGAATCCTGTCTTGGGTGTTGACTACTGGTTAAAATACACTTCCTCTGAATTTATTTAATGATTTCATGAAAGTTCTGGCATTCAGCCCCAACCCCACCCCACCCTGTTATTGACTGAAGTTACTGACCGCTCCTTAGTGGCTGCAGACTGACATCTGAAGGGAACAGGGCACAGCTGAGCCCCGGGAAGTGAGATGGGTCCTGGCCAGCCTGTCGGTGGTGTACACACCGGACCCCCCACCCCCTGGAGTTGTTCAGGTTACGTCACCAGCATTTGCACCAAACATGGGTCCTAGGGGCACACCTGGGGCCATGAGAGATGTGGTGGCTCCGGGGATACTTGGGGGGACAATTCCAGAAGGATCTTTGAGCCTCTGGGGGACAGAAGTTGGCAAAATTATTCCGACCGTGTGTCTAAGACAAGATTCGGTGCGTAGTGTTGTGAGGGGTTTGTATTGTAGCCAAGAATGTTTATGTTAGTGGTCATTTCTGTGATGGTGTCCCAGCCATGCTGGGAGGAGCATTAGAGTAAACTTGGATGTTTTATATTGGATCCTCAACCTCACTCCCTTTAATTCAAAATGGAGAGCATTGCTTTGAAAGACCCAGAGTAGGTTCCTTCTTCCCATCTCCAGTCCCCGAGGGAAGGACATGTTTTACATTAATTGCCAATAATGGGTCCTCTAGTACTCGTTGAAAGGAGGTTGGGTTTTATTCAGCAGGCAAACCAAAGTGGATTGCCTCTCAGTATTAAGTCTGAGTTTTCAAGGAGCTCATTCTCCTCCTGGAGGCTGTGCCTCCAGCTCTAAGTGATGGCTGAGCAAGGGAGGTGCTGAGCGTAGCTTTTCTCCCAGGCTGCCCAGTTCTTAGGGGAAAAGACCCCCAGTGCTCACCTCTGTGCTCCACGGGAACGGTCACTGCATTTGTATGACGTAGCAGAGGGGAGAGGTGAGAGGCAGGCTGGCTGGAGTCCTCTTGAAATCTGGTTCTACAGCATAGTAACCTTACACCTCTCATCTCCGGAAGAACTAATGTATTTCCAGTATAGGTGGTCGTGAGAAACAAATAAGATACACTTCAGAGTCTGAAAAGTGCCAATTGAATGGTACTATTTGGTCTATACGGTAAGACCTTTCAAATTTGTCCTAACCCGCCTTTATCCATTCATGATCTTTTCTCTCTGCCTAGAATGTGCCTTTTCTATGGGCAAGCTCCTCCCTCCTTTGTCTCATGGTGGTTTCACTTACCAGCATGGCCTCAGTCACCTCGTATGAACTGCCTGCATAGTTCCCCATTCGACTGAATTCCTTGCTGGCCACATAGTTAATCCTTACAACCATTCCAATCCTGGTGCAGAGGAGATGGTTAATAAGCCCTTGTTGAAGGAAGCTTAAAAAAACAAATAAACAGAACCACGACTAGAGTATCAAGATTGTATTACCAGTTCCAGCTTCAGATCCTTTGCAGGATTCTTGTCCTTTGCTTCCGGCTGTATTTAAAGTCAAGGCCTTCCCTGACCTGACATTCTCTCTCCCTCTCGGTTACAGCTATCCTGTCAGCATCTTCTCATGAGAGCACTTTTGAGGAGTCAGACCATCTGACTTCCAGCTCTCCTCTGGGCCACTAACTAGCTTCCTGATTTTAAAAATAAAATTCACCTTTGGCCCAACTTAGTCACTTACCAGCAATGGTATTGCAGTACTTTGAAGTGTCGCGATTAGTTAAGAGATGTTAACAAGTGATGTGTTAACATCAAAACATGTGGAATACCACTTCTTAAAAGTACATACTAGACTTGAATCTCTACAAGAAAAGCACTGTCATTCACTTACTTCCTAATAAGAAAGTACCAGCTTTCTCGGGAGGAAAAGAAGAGATAAATCATTAACAGCAGTGGGTTCGGCTGGATTCAGATACTGGATTCGTCGATGAGGCTACATGCTGTTCTGACACTTCAGAGTCTGATTTCTCTTCTCTCTGAGACACAAAGGCTTGCTTCATTTTCTTTATGAAGGATACCGCTCCAACACGGTCTTCAGCCATTAAATGAGAAGGTGCAAATACAGAGCACCTGAAGGGCAGACCAGAGCAAGCATTAACACGGAGATGAGCTATGCCTGTGCCACTCAGCTAGCCCTGCTCAAGGGGACACGTCCACCCCGTTTGTGACCGATGGCCCCTTCTCATTCCTCGTCGTCGGAGCCATTCAGAAGGGCCTTCTGGCAAGTAGGTTCAGACTTCAGCTTCTGAATGCCAATGATTTCTCCTCCTCTGTGCCTCTTGAGCCGGGTCAGGAGGCTGTGATAGAGAAACGGTAACAAGTCAGCCCCCAAACTCCCTATTCCTTCACTGAAGGATGTGAAGGCATCTAATGGTTCTTCAAGCATTCACTTTCTTAAATATTGTGACTTCTCAGTACTCATTGGTAGATAAAGGGATCGTGGTTAATAACATTTAATAGTTATTGTTGTAATTGAGACTAAACTTGGGTTTCCTGCCTCCCTTTTTATTACTGCACTGACCAGGCGGTAGAACGAATAGACACGATGACCTTGAGTTGCGTTCTGTTTGGTCTGCCCGGAAGTCTCTGGGTGAGGTGTATCTGCTTTGGTAGGGAAATCAGGAGCCAGGGACAGAGAGAGGGGCAGCTAAGACAACAGCTAATGCCGTGTGCCCACAGCCACTCTGGCACTGTGGTTAAGGACTGGAGCTCTGCCATTTGCTCGTTGGGCAACCTTGGTCACATTAGACTGTTGAAGCCTTGGTTTTCCCGTCTGGAAAACATTACATATTTCACAAAGTGATAAGAATTAAATTGGGCAGCGTATGAAGTGCTGCCCATGGTGCCTGGGTACTGTTCGCTGTCCTCTCGGAAGAGCACTTCAGCTGCGTGGTGTCCTATCTGATTGTCGCAAGGCCCCATGGGAAGTAGGGGATGGGCTCGAAATGAACAGGGACAAGAGCAGGACGGCAGGCCAGTGCAAGGTTGCCCAACGAGCAAATGTTTTCTGTCACAGCCCAGTCCTGAGCTCTGTCAGATCTGCCTCTGCAGCCTGCATCTGTCCCAGGTTACTATGACCAGTCAGACCCTTAGCCTTCTCAGAGCCCCATCACCCTCATTCATAGTCTAGAGCAGCGGTCGCCAGCCTCTCAGGGACCACTGGTTGGCGACCGCTGGTCTAGAGCACCTGGCACAGGACTCGGCATTTAGCTGGTACTTGTTAGGTTGTAGGAGTTAATTGGGAAAGGAATCCCTGGAATTAAAAGTGGTGCAGGGGGTTGGTAAGGAAGGAAAACCTTGCCGGAAGTCTCAGGGACGTACCAGTGCACGAGAGCATAGTTGATGCCCACGACGCAGAGCGCAGCCAGGTAGTGCCAGCAGAAGCACATGGTGATGAACATGAGGTTCGCGTGATCCTCCTGGTCCCACTGCGGGCTTCCGAAGGGCGGGAACAGCACAAACCCAATCTGGCGGGGCACACAGAGAAGACAGCCTGTCATTAGTCGCCTCCTTCCCTGGTTACCAAAGGCACTCGGGCCGCATTCCCCACGCCTGCCTTAGCGTGGAAGGACGTTTTGCACGGGAGAATGGCTGGGTTAATTCTGGTTTCAGCGAAGCCTTATTTCCAACCAAATTTTCAGGTGGACAGTTCAGCAGGTGGAGCCTGCTGATGGTATCAGCACCTCCATGGGGAGGGCGGATGGGGAAATGGTTTGTCTGCTCACTGTGTACGCTCCATAGACTCTGCTTAACGTATCGGCAGGCTGTTCATGGGTACAGCTCCCCAGGTCCAGGGGCTGCCGTCTAAGTCCACCCATGTGGCATGTCGGACTTCACCTGGACGCGCTCCGGGGGGGCCCTCCGTCCGTACAGCGTTAGGAGCAGTGTGTGGGTAATTACCTGCCAGAACCAGGTGCCTTGAAGAATAACAAGCGAGGTTCGGAAAAGTTCCAGCACTATGTTGTCCCGAAGGATCACCTCCAGGAAGATGCTGATCGCCCCTCCGAACACGGCGCACAGCAGCAGCGAGTGGATGTACTGGTCCAGCGGCGGCCGGTTGTGGACATGGTGGTAGAAGAGGAAACCTGCCCCAGAGCCAGGCACGGCCGTCAGAGGTGCCCGTTTCCACGTCACCCCGCACACCCCATTATAGAATGTCCTCAGCCAGGGTCTCCTGCCCTTGGGAAGTCAGTGTATGGAACATTACAGGACAAGCAATGGACAAAGGAAATCGGTGTGTGTGTGCTGCCCCAGCCGGGTGGTTCAGTGGTCAGCGCCAACCTATGAACCTGGATCAATTCCCGGTCAGGGCACATGCCTGGGTTGCGGGCTCAGTCCCCAGTAGAGGGCATACAGGAGGCAGCTGATCAATGATTCTCATCACCGATGTTTCTATCCCTCTCCCCCTCTCTCTGAAATCAATAAAACTATATTTAAAAAAAAAAAAGTGTGTGTGGGTAAAGTGGGTAAAAGCAGCAAAGGATCTCTTTTTATAGCATTGATGATAGGGTTCAATACATGATGGGTAAGTGAAATATTGCTGATTGGTGACATATTATGTGTGTGTTTACTTGAAACTCGGTTTTGCCTTCATGTACCTTTTTTAAACTCTTCCTGAGATAACAGAAGTCAGTGAGGTTGCTGGATTACAAGATTTTTTTTTTTTTTTAAAACCCCATTTACCGTGGTGGGTCTCCTATTTGTGATGGAATCCTGACAGTGACACTCTGGGTGGGGGCTGGAGTGCAGAATTTCTCTTCCCAAACCACAGGGAGTCAAAATCTGGCGTGGTGGCAGTCACCCTGTCTTCAGACAGTTCTTGTTTACGTGTGGATGTGCGCACATGCACTCACACGGATGAGGGGGCGGGGGGAGGGCAGGGAGAGTTTGTACACTCCTAGCCAGTGACTGGCTAAAAGCCTTGTGCTTTCCTGGGTTCTTTAAAAACAATTTTTTTTAAATTGGTTTTGGAGATGAAGGGGGGAGAGGGAGAATCATCAATGATGAGAATCATTGAATGGCTGCCTCCTGCAAGTCCCCCACTGGGGATCGCATCCTCAACTCAGGCATGTGCACTGGCCGGTAAGTGGACCATGACCTCTTGGTTCATAGGTTGATGTTCAGTCATTGAACCTCAGTGGCCGGGCCTTTCGTGGGTTCTTTAAGGAATATGTCACCTATACCATTGGTCGGCAAACTGCAACTCGCGAGCCACATGTGGCTCTTTGGCCCCTTGAGTGTGGCTCTTCCACAAAATACCATAGCCTGGGCGAGTCTATGTTGAAGAAGTGGTGCTAGAAGTTGAAGTTTAAAAAATCTGTACTGTTGATATTTGGCTCTGTTGACTAATGAGTTTGCTGACCACTGACCTGTGCCATCCAGAGCATAGGACTAAGCCTGCTCGGTTATTGAAGCTCAGAGATTGGGATTTTTCTGGGGAAGGGTGTTCTGTTTGTGATCGCTCTGGTGTCCGTGCCCAGATCCCTCCTAACCACAACTTGCCAGTTTCTTCCTTGTTCCTTACCACTAAGTTACCTTCGTTGAAGGTTGCCACAGCCATCACCAGCCTGTCAACCCCCAAGGGCACGTGACTGACGAGGTAGGTGAGCATGTCCGTGATTCCGGAGACTGCGAAGAACAGGTACATGGTGCTGTGCTGCCAGTTCATCAGCTTGATCCACTCTTTGTCCGAGTACAGGTGGAGGTGGGGCCCGTCGGGAACAAACTGCTCTGCCAGCATTCCTGCAGGGAAGTGAGAATGGAAATTAGGGAAGAATAATTCTCAGACAATGGGAGAGAAGCCAAAGACAACCCCGAATCAGGAGTGACCCTACTCTGCTACTGCTGTCTAAAGTAAGGTCTTGGCTGAGGAACCTGTGTGGATGTCGTGTCTTAGTTGCTGTTCCTTGGATGGGGGCATGTGGAGGGGGGAGGAGCAGCCATGGAAACGCAGCCACACAACACAGGAAACTTCTGGGAGCTGAGATGGAGGAAAGGCGTCACCTCAGCGCGAGGGTGGCAGTTATAACTTAATCTAGGGCTCCCTCTGCCCAGGGAGCAGGGAGAGAAAGCCTGGAAGAAAACCGTTAGGTCAGGAATAATAAGAGTCTGAGCAGACACTGGTGATGAAGATACTTGTGCACGCCCGAGGGAGGGAGGCTGTTCCCAGTGGCTCTGTGGACCCAGCTCCTTCCAAAGCCTTAGGTTTCAGTGTTCTACACGTCACGTGGGGGGTTCCCCCGTCCTGTGTCCCCAGAGAGGCAAGCTTCATGTCCTCAGTGTGGGTCTCAGTTCTCCCTCCTACTGTCACCTGCTTTGAAGGCGAAAGCTTTGCCTTTACGCCTGGTGCCCAGAGTGTTCTTGGGGCTACGGTCACTCCTCCATGACACATTCAGGGACCCTGCTCCCCAAACCCAGCCCCTGTCTGAATGTCCACATTAAAGGATCCAGGAGTGGGTGGAAACCCAGGAAAGGGAAGTCCTATCAGAGCTGGAGGCCAGCTGTAGTTCCCCATTTTGTACCCCTTTATCTAGATTGGTGAGTTCCTGGCACATGGCGAGAGCTCAGGAAATCATTGGCGAGGAGGTGTTTTCACGCAGACACAGTTTTTTAGCTTTGTTTAGGCCAATACCAGTTAAGCCATGTGGTCCCTGTTTACGTCTCGGCTCCAGAGAGATGAGAAAGCCTTTCTGATGCCCATTCACCAGCCGCTCGGGCAAGTCCAGCTGGACCAGGAAACAAAGCTATGTTCCTGTGCCAACTCCCAGGGAAGCCACTGGCCTGGCTTCAGCTGCGCCCAGGAAACCGGAGATGGTGGGTGGCAAATGCCATTGCCGAGTTAGGTCCCTCGCAGGTACCACTCACTCTTCCTGGGCTGCCAGCAGAGCGGGTGAGGTGAATTTTGTAGCGGAAGGCACCATAAAGGAAGATCCCTCTCATAGCGTCTGTGGGCTTCTTTCCGTCTCTTCTGCTGCCTCTGACTAGCCCCAAGCAGAACACTCCTCTCTACCTGCTTGAGGTTTGGGGTGGAGGGTATGCCAATGCATAATGCTTTACTTTTGAGATTCTGGAGGAGAGACAGTTGGGGAAAAGATTTTTCTAAAACTCAACTCCATTTAGTCTTCTCATAACTCAGGAGCTTACTCTCTTAATTTGTTCTTTTTTCTACTTTGGTGTTTTGCTCTTTTCATCAAGTATATCTTCTGTTCCTACAACTATCTTTCTAGGGTAGTTGGCAAGCTGTGGCTTGCGAGCCACATGCAGCTCTTTGGCTCCTTGAGTGTGGCTTTTCCACAAAATACCACATGTGGGCGGGCACGTATGTGCGATTGAAACTTCGTGGCTCATGCGCAGAAGTCGGTTTTCGGCCTGGGCGAGTCTACTTTGAAGAACTGGTGTTAGAACTCTCAAGGGGCCAAAGAGCCGCATGTGGGTCTTTGCCGACCCCTGTTCTAAGGCCAAGGATGTCATTTACTTGGTACTCTCTCACAGTGCACCGAGATGCGAGGCACCGTTCACTGTTGATACCACAAAGTTGGGTGCACAGCAGATATTGCGGTGAAGTGTTCAGTGGCTAATGGACAGCCCGTTCTCTATTCTCTCTGCCCGTGGAGCCGTCCATCCACCGGGCCCAGAAAGGGGACTGGAGGCTCTGGGTGTGATGTGGATCCCCTGGACCCCAAGCGCCCCCCCCCCTTACCAATGATGGGAAATAACGTCCTGATGGCCGCCTCAATGATCTCCAGACGCTCATAGTTATGCCTCGGTTGGCCCTTTCTCCTCTTTCGGTGAAAGTTCTTCAGGGGGTACTTCACCGACCACCACAGCCCGACGATCAGGAAGAAGCTCCCCGGGAGAGCGTGGCCCTTGAAGTTTGCCATCAGGGCCCTGGGTCACCTGAAACACAGGAGCAGCTGTCAGGTGGCTGAAGGAGGAAAACAAGCGGGTATCTTGGCAGGAAATACAACATGTGACTGCCGAAACTGGTTTGGCTCAGTGGATAGAGCATTTGATTCTGGTCAAGGGCATGTACCTTGGTTGCGGGCACATCCCCAGTAAGGGGTGTGCAAGAGGCAGCTGATAGATGTTTCTCTCTCATCGATGTTTCTAACACTCTATCCCTCTCCCTTCCTCTCTGTAAAAAAAAAAAAAAAAAAAAATTAATAAAACATATTAAAAATTCAACATGTGACTGAGGAGTCCAAGTCACAAGCCGTATGGAGAAGGGCCCACTCATTCTCATCAAGTAGGTCTGTGTCCTGTCACCAATGTCTGACCTGATGTTTGAACAACATCGGTAAATAGCAGGGGGTGGGGGGGGAGAAGGGAAATGGAGGATAGGTAAATATTAATTGAACTCCGGGTAGAAAAGTCTTCCTTAAACGTAAAGGAGGGGGTAAGAAAAATAGTCATGGACACTGGTACTTTATAGATCAGAACATGAGAAGGAAAGCCAGTGGGGCGAAGCTACCATCTGTGGGGTTATGACCGACCGCCTGTCAGAGTCCTGTCCAGCCTGGAACCAGGGGCAGTGCCTCTAGCGGGGCCTCCGGTGGCCTCAGGTCCCCGGTCCCCTGCCCCTGGTGGCCCTCAGTGTGCAGTGGGACCTGGGAAACGGGGTGCGGCAGGGAAGGGGGCCACTCCTTGTCCTTCATGCATGGGTTTTTATATATTTCATTGCAACAAATCATGCAAAAATGATATATTAGCTGAATAAACTTAGGGCCACCAGGAGAAAAATACTGAACCAACAACTGGTGGGTGCGGTCCCGTGACCCCTGCACAGCCTTCGCCTGCTCCTCTCTAGTCTGGAGCCATTTCGCTCCAATGGCTGTAAAGTCTCAGGGAAAGGGAGTCTCTAATGGTGGCACCTATAGCACAGCTGCCTGAGCCCCCAAACAGAGGCTCCCTATTTTAAATATATGTTTAAATATATGTTTTTAATTGATTTCAGAGATGAAGAGAGAGAGAGAGACATCTAAGATGAAAGAGAATCATTGATCAGCTGCCTCCTGCACGGCCCACACTGGGGATTGAGCCCGCAACAGGCATGTGCCCTGTCTGAGAATTGAACTGTGACCTCCTGGTTCATAGGTTGATGCTCAACCACTGGGCCATGCTGGCTGGGCTGGAATAGTTATTTTCAAAAGGCGCCCCAGGAAAAGCAAAGCCAGAACTTGGGGAGGGAGTCCTCAGCTCAGGTCTTGTCTCAATGTCTAGACCCTGGGAATGAACTCCAAATGGTTATTTCCTCATCACAATATTCCCTTCCAGAGCCTTTACTAATTAACCAGGAACATGCCATAGAAGAACGGGCAAAGACACGAACACAGTTCACAAATAACACGCCGATAAGGAATCTCACTGGAATCAAAGACATGCAAACGAATGCGCAGTATCATTTTCACTTAATCAGAGTATAATTTGAAAAATTAGAGATTTGATGCGGCTCTAACATAAATATGGTCAACATGATTCAAATTCAATAAAAGTCAAAATAGTTACATCAACACCGTCTTATTCCACACAAGATTTCAGGCCTGGTTTCTTTTATCCTGGCTACAGTAGCATAGACTATGGGATCAACATGAGTTATGTAGAATTTATTCAGAAAAAAAGTGCCTTTCTTTTCTTTCTTTTTTTTTTGCGGCCTGGCTGGTGACCCAAAGCAATGTAGGGTGGGAGAAAAATAGCAGTTGATGGAGATCTAGAACATACCACTTGGGAAGAGAGAGCACCGTGGTCTGCCCAGCCTATTCCAACCCTGCCATCCAACACTGGCTACATGGTCAGGGCTGGGTCACACCTGATCCATTGTCAGTTGAGGTTTCCACCCTTCACCAAGCGCTTTCACAAGCTTCTAGAAAATGCTTACCTCTTTTAAAGTGTCCAATAGCATTTAAAGTTTTACAATGAAAAGCAGCAGCCCCGTGTTCCCTCCTCTTCCCACCACAAATCACTTTGAATATTTTTTTCTTTCTTTCTGGTAATTACCTCCATCGTTCTAGTTAATTCGTGCACACGGCCATCTGTTAATTTACTGTTGTCGGGCCTTCTCTGGCAACTTCCTGGAGCCCTCCCTCTCACAGCCTCCATTACTGATTGAAATCATTAGCGACATTATTATGGCTCTGTAAATCCAAAGTCCTTACAGGGCTCCATGTGACCTGAGCTCTCTCTTTGATCCCTCCTCCTCCTCTATCCCTGCAATACAGGGTCCCCCTCTATTGCTTCAACAAGTTCCACCTTCTACTGCTTCCGGGCTGTGCGCTAGCTGTTCTTTCTAGACCAGTTTTCCCACAGAGAGTTGACTGTTTATTCCTTCACTTTGCTGGGGTCTCTGCTGAGATGTTTCTTTATTCCCTATTTTACGCAAAGTAGCAGATGTGTCCCATCTTTCAATCCATATATGCCTCTAAATTTCTTTAATGAATCACTATCTGTAGTACGTATTGATCCTTTTTTTTTTTTTTTTATCATCTAGGTTGCCCACTAGAATGTAAGTTCCGTGAAAGTAGGTAATTGATCTGCTTTGTTATTGTAGGTTGCTCTGTACTCACATAGGGTCTGACACATAGTATGTAAGCACTCCAGTATTTGTGGGATGAATGCTAATTGTCTTTTTCCAGCAACAAAAGCAAAATGTGTCTTTTGTAAATATTTTCTATCAATCTGTGGCTTGTCTTCTAATTCTCTTGACTTTGTCTTTTGCAGAGGAGAAAATGTAATTTTAAGTAAAGTCTAGCCTGGCTGGCGAGGCTCAGTGCTTGAGCATCAACCTATGAACCAGGAGGTCATGGTTTGATTCCCAGTTGGGGGCACATGCCAAGGTTGCAGGCTTGATCCTCAGTGTGGGTTGTGCAGGATGCAGTCAATCAATGATTCTCATCATTGCTGTTTCTATCTCTCCCCCTCTCGTCCTCTCTGAAATCAATTAAAAATATATGTAAAAATCTAACTTATCATTTATTTTATTTTTTCATAGATCATGTCTTTGTTGTATATAAAAAGGATCACCATACTCAACTTCATCTAGGTTTTCTATGTTATGTTCTAGACGTTTCTACTTTTGCATTGTACACTTCAGCCCAGGGTCCATTTTGAGTTAATTTTTGTGATCAACATAAAATAATTCTCCATTTTCACTTAATATGTAAAGCAGGCCCCTTTCAAGATCAGGCCTGTTATACAGCTTTGTTTTTCCTTTCTTCTTTTTAAAAAAAAAATATATTTTATTGATTTTTTACAGAGAGGAAGAAAGAGGGATAGTTAGAAACATTGGTGAGAATCATTGATCAGCTGCCTTTTGCACACCCCCCCACTGGGGATACCCACAACCAAAGTACATGCCCTTGACCGTAATCGAACCTGGGACCTTTCAGTCTGCAGGCTGATGCTCCATCCACTGAGCCAAACCAGTTTCGGCTACACCTTTGTTTTTCTAACCAGAAGTTCAGAAAAACCCAGCTTTGTCAGTGCTTCCTGCCCTTCTCCATTCTTCTGAGAGCAGTATCCCAAATGCAGGCTGACTCCTTATCTGCCTCTGAGTCCATACCCGGGCCCACCCTCCCCTTCTCCCTGAGTGAAATTTATCAGTAGGGCCTGCCACACATCTATAGAAACTACTTAAGAATTTACTTAGGCTTCTTGGAAGGCTGAGTATCTTGATTTGATAGGGGAGAGAAAGGGAGGAAGTAGATTCCTTCCATTAGCAAATTATTTGCTTAGCTTATTAGATTAGCTACATTACGGAACATATGGTAGAGATATAAGATAGGTCAGTCTTTATGAGGAAGCACAAGACAATAACTAACCTCACATAAAAAATAAAAACTTAGACTTCTATCGAATTAGGGGTGTGCCCATCACAGATGAGTGCATAAAAAAGCTGTGGTAGATTTACACAATGGAATGCTACCTGGCTGCAAAAATGAAGGCATCTTACCCTTTGTGACAGCATGGGTGGACCTGGAGAGTATTACGCTAAGTGAAATAAGCCAGTTGGCAAAAGACAAATACCTTATGATCTCACCTGTGTAATCTAATGAACAAAATAAACCGACAAACTAAATAGAAACAGAGGCATGGGTACATGGAACAGACTTGACAGCTGTCAGAGGTGTGGGGGAGGGTTGAAAAGTGGGAATTGGATGAAAGAAGGTGAAGGGATTAGCCACATAACATATATACATAACCCACAGACCCACACACCAGTGGAGTGATGGACAGAGGGGAGGGCCGGGGCAGAGGCTGGGTGGAAGGGGGGAAATGGAGATACCTGTAATAGCACCCCAACAATAAAAATAAATTAAAAAAATGTAGACTTCTAATAATTTGGATAACAACATTCAGATAGGTTTAAGTCCCTGAGAATTCAAGCTTTAAAAATAATTGTAAAAAACATTAAATTAAAAAAAGCAAACATTGAAGGAATGAGCATGAGGAGAGCTAAGGGCATGGCTTTCACAGCAGGAGAAAGAGCTAAAGCCGACTGCCCCCAATGACAGGATGCTAACAGTATGGACTACCACCTATCACAGAGCACCTGGAACTCTGCTTAGTTCCAATCACAGCGTTGACTTCATGATGAGTTACCTTAACCTTGGAATATTATGCAGCCATGAAAAAGAACGAGCAGATCAGTCATTCACATGGCACAGCTGCGCTTAGCATTGCTGCTGAGTCTCCTCACCCAAACCCCCTCAGCTTGACCAGGGTTAGGCCATGCTCTCCCAGAGAGGGATGCTGGAAACCTTGAGATGGGCTTAGTTTGGGAATGTGCAAACAGTATATTTGAAAGTCAAATCAACCAGACACTGTGGTCCTTCCTGCCCTAAAGTCTCTGGGAAGGGATTCAGCCAACCACAAACGGGCCGAGGAA